GAAACTCTACGGCCCTTAATTAACGATGAAGTTTGAATACGTGGATCAAACATCTGTTGAATTTTAATTAATGCCAATGAGGCGAAATACGTATGTACTTTATATACAGTATTAGAAAATCATATTTACCATATTTTTGCAAATAAAGATGATAAGTAATAACTGCAAATTTTTTGATATTAACTATACAGTTTTTCGTTTGATGTTGACTTGAAATAGAAAGCAATAAAAAGTTATTATGCTCCGATTTTACACTTACTTTTTTTTAAAGGCTAAAATTTTAATTACTATGTTGGCAAGTTAATTAGTTTGATTAATTTTAGTAATAGAATACTAAACTAAGCAGTGTATTGATTGTTAATTCACTATTAAAATTAAGTTAAAAACATTAAGACAGAAAGAATTTCTGATATCTTTTCATGTAGGTAATATTTGATGATTACTATAGAAGATACGACTAGATTACAGATGATAACGCGGCCATTTGAAAGAAACCGAATGGTATATTCGCTACAATACTGGTTTTGTGTGGGAACTGTCCTATCTACGAAAAAATAAATAACCTCTCTTAATACTTTTTGCAAAAGTAAGTTTCCTCATAAATTTTTCCTTACGACGAGCACTTGATAGAACAGCAGGTTAAAATTCAATCAACAATTTCATTTGTTTTGAAAATTGTGGGGTTTGAACTGGGGTAACTCCAGTGCACTGAATAAAAAACTAAAGACCGAGATTCCACAGCTCTTGGAACTGCTAATACTTAAGCAAAAAGACATAACTCTTACAAGACATTGAAACAAAATAAAATGGAACAAGTTTATGTTTGACACACACTAGTAACCCAATCGTGCGTTTCGTTTATTCCAAGATTTTATACTTTATTGTAATTTAATTATTATTGATTTTTTCAACAATGACCCCTTTAGTTCATTCATAGAACCAAAGTGTCTTTCGCACAAAGATTCCGCATTCAAATGACGCAAACAGAACTAGTAAAGTTTGATAAATAGGTCATGTTTATTCAGATACAACGACACCTCGTTACCTCTGCCCTGTAGGCGTTTTGTGCTCAGACCGTTAATGACCATGAACAGCGTCAGCGCAACTAAAGACCTAGCCATCCGTCAGCGTTTTAGGAATCAAACACTTCATAATACAGCGTCATATCCTTTTCAGCTAAAATACGTTTAAATTTACTGAAGAGCTATTACAAATCTTGTAGGTCTTTTTTACACGTAAATAATAAGTTAACCTGAATTACATCAACACTTGTGAAATTATTGAACCTTTCTTTATTTGTAAGTATTTGTAATAAACACCTTTGCTCATGTATTTAATCTAGTCTGAATCGAGTCTTTATTACAATATGTTACAATCTAAGTGCTTCTCACATTATGACCAAAAACAATACTTCGTGCCATCTCAATTTTTTCTCATTCAAGTCTAGACAGTTTTATGTTTCACTACAATATACTTGGATTTTTTTTATGTGAAAAGTTGCCAAACGAGTAGACGGCTCACCTTATCTTAAGTAAATACCGATGCCCATGGTCATCTGCTACACCCGAGGGTTCCAGATGTGTTGACAACCTTTTGAAAATTGGGCTCCGGCCACCGCACTCACCAGACGAAACGCGAAAGTATTATACTTCCACTTTACGCCAGGCTTGTGCGAGGTCGTGGTACTTACCCGGACGAGCCTGCCAATTCGTGCAACAACCTAGGCTTCTGCGTGGCCCTACCACCGTAATTTATAAGATTGAACAAAACAACATAAGTACATTGACTACACATTGCGCTGAGATATAAATATCACCACAGACCTTATTCATCTAGTTCCGTTATTTGTTTTTATGTGAGAAGGTGGTAAGCGAGCAGGCGGTTCTCCTGATGCAACCGTATATTTGCAACACCCGTAGGATTGCCGATGCGTTGCCACCTTTTAATAAAGTGGGCCCTGGCTACCTCACTCACCAGACGAAACGCATAACTTCCGGGACGGGCCTTCCCATGCGTTAGACGTAGCTACTGCATGGCCATGCCAGTGTTCGTAATCCGTAAATTTGTTAACTAACCCGTTCATGCCTTTAATTAGAACTCGTGAAAAATCACACACTAAGCAGGAATAAAATAAAATCTTCGCTTAAGCCCCTACAATTTATTTATAATCCAAAAAGATTACAAAGCGATCCTACTGTATAATGAAGCTTTTATCACTTTAAGCCCCTGTGAAAGTGGGTTAACCTTTTTTTGTTATCGATGTAAAAATGAAAAGAAATAGCTATTTTTAACACAATCATGAAAAATGATTTTTTTATCAAAAGCGAGATAACGCAGTAATAAATATTTGTTATCATTTACTTCTTACCAAAAAGCATTATTTCATAAGGCTTCGGAAGGTTCGATAATTGTTGACCCATTAGGATGTATCACCAATAGTTGATGGTTTTAATAACTTTATCCTGTAGGTACAACACAAACCAAGCACTCAATTTAACATCGGTTTAGTGAGGACCTTCCTTGAAGCTGCTTCTGTTTCCATACGATACTGCGAACGAAGACATCCTGTTCGACCGTTGCTCCTTGTTCATGAATTAACGCCCCGTTTCTGAAACACTGATCAGTGTAGAAACTAACCAATCAGCTATCAAATACATTCTCAAATATCATTTGAGTTGAAAAAAGGATGGTTAATCCCAAATGACATGTGACAAGCAATTTGACAGCTGATTAGTTAATTTCTACGCTGATCAGTGTTTCAAAAACCGCGCGTACGTCATTTAACAATTAGGTCCTGGTCATTAGAGACATGCATTTTACTTCGTCAAAGAGCAACTATAACTAAAACAGATGAAACGGACGCTTTAAAAGACCCAGTTACCACGAGGATTAAATCTGCGCACTCATAGTAAGTTAGTCTCTACATGGTGTACCGCACATTATCCATCCCAAACTTCGTTCTGATAACACTGCCAATCCAATGTAATTCAGTAGCTCCATTAAATAGAGACAACCGAAAAGGAACACCTCATCCATTCAGAATAGGTAAGGGCCACTTTTGCTTGTCACCCTTCGAAGATCAAATTCACTTTCCGACCTCACCAGCGAGTCTAAACTAACCGTACCCTAAGATATGCATAACGAAGGTTTTTTCATAACCATTTTGATTAGCTTCGCATTATTCAAACAGAGAGTGTGTTTTATTTAATATTTTCTCTTTTAATGTTAGGATTGTCCTGCAACACGAATTGGAAGCTCTTACGAGGAAGTATCACGGCCTACCAGGTGACCAGTGATGAGACGGTATTATTATTGAGCTTCGATCATTTAATGAGGCTTATCAAACTTACTCAGAGTTGGTAGGCCATCTGCGTTACTGTTGTGTAAACGTAGTGATTATTCTCTTTGGTGTGTAATACGAATTGTTGTAAATATTCTCGATTGGTGGTAATCAATTGAAATCACATGAACTGCTTGCTCGCTTGGCATCTAAAGGTTTGTAAACAAAATAATAAATAGTGAACGACAGCAAAAACAATTTGGCGATCTTAAATATCATTCCATTAATTGTATATCAGATTAACTTAAAACATTTAAGAAAGTAGCATATGGGTAATGGTGTAAAGAAATGATTATTCTGTACGAAAAAAATAATTTATTTCATTTAAGTATAAAAAATTATTTCTTGTACACATAAAAAAAAATACCTTCACACACATCGACTTCATAAGTTAAGGTACGTATAACATGTGGAGTATTATAATATAAAAATTTCTAAGTATTTCAAATTGCAATGATAAGAAAAAAAATGTAAATAAACCCTGAATAAGGTAGTTTTGTGTAGAATTATAGCAACATACGGTTTAAGAATTTAAAAAGAATATTAAATCTGAAGAATTGTTAGATATCACATCATCATCCATTGACTATAATAGTAATTTCGTTGGAACATTACAGTTTTTCAACTTTACATATCAACAATTTTTTTTCCTAGGCCGTATAATCTTTCTATTCGGCCTTGGTTTGTTAAAATATAAAGGCAGCAATTAATATATAATACTAGATGGTATAACAAAAAGAAAGGAATAAAATGGACAATTGATTAGATCCCCACTCAATTATGAAATAAGTTGCCAGTATTCAAAACACTGCTGTATTCAGGTAGAATGAAATATATAAATATATTTAAAAAATAATTTTTACACTTTTTCTCGTCTAACGCAATCACAGCAAAATAAATATAACATTTATAGATATTTTCCAATCAAATTGAAAAATATATACGTACACAAAAATATACGAACTTTATAAAATCACAGATAATCTCCCACCATATTGGCGTAGCTTAAATAGCAAATACAGAAAATTGTCGAATAATCTAACATTTTCACGCCTATTAACAAACTGCCGTTGAAATATTTGAAAGTGTTCAAATATTTGTGATTTGCATCCTCTACACAACATTTACTGTAGAATTAAAATTTAAGTTGTATACATGTTTCAAAATAAAACATAATAAGTTTACGATGATATGTATGTTTACAAACAAAGCTGCTTACAGTTTTATTAACCTCTAAAAAATATAAAATACAATTTAATCCACTTTAAACAGCATTAGTGAAACTTTAGCATAATAGAATAAAATGTTACAGCCGCATTTACTTCCTTAATGTAAATTGAAAGTATTATGGAAATCTTGATATAAAGTCGTGCTTTTTTACCATTATAAATTTTAAGTGACAATTTTTTTTCAATTACTACAATTCTTTTAAAAAAAGCATTATATTTTATTCGTAAGATAATAATTACATTTATAGACCAACAGCGTTGGATTCTACAATAGGTACGTATGAGTAACATCACTAATTATTTTGTAAAGCATTCTACTATTACAAATATTATGCTCGATAGCTGACAAACATTAAAAATCCACATTATTAAATCCATCTTGCCTCCGGTAGCCACCACTCGACGCGTGATTTTTGCGATAATGCGGGCTAATTGTTTCTGATAAAAAAAAATATAAAACAACAAAAACCACATGAAAAATAAAAAATGTACAGACTAAAAGCTGTTTTTTCAAACCTGCCAAAATTTTTAATTCGCCCGAAACGAAAAAAAATTTAATGCCATTAAATACAAAAAAAAAGTAAATCTAAAACTTTAAAATTCAAAAAAGGAATACCGCGCGAGTGAGCGCTCTCGGGGCGCGCCGAGTCAACGCATCCAATCCATCAGTCTTATTCCCGCGGGCGCCTGGGGCGGACGTGTCGTAGATCGCTTCTACCTGTAGCTGATGCCGTACCGCGCCGCCAGTTGGGGCGTGTGCGTCGTGGCCACCGCCAAGAGCAGCGGCACGTCGTTCGCATCGATGCCCAGTGCCTTGGTCAGGGCCGCCATGTCGCAGAAGTCCGTGCTCATCAGCAGCTCCGCCAGCGTCTTGGAGAGCACGCAAAGCTCGCGCAGCTTGCCCTCCAAATACAGTACGCACTGAGATGAAAGCCCAAATTCTATTACTCTCGACGACATTTGAAGAAAAAAGTGCACGAAAAAATATTCGTACACCACCACGGCTAGAATCCAAGAATTTAGTTGCGATCTAGTCTATGCGGCGATTGTAGGCCGGGTAGGTGGTTATGAAAAAAATTTTGACAAGAACACTCCCAATAACTAGCACTCGTTATAAATAGCAGCTTAAAAAACATCATAAGAAATTTTGGACACCCAAGCAGACGTGGTCAAATTTTGGTCTAGTTTTGTGTTGAATCTATTTTTCAGACCGAAGTGTCCAGTCTTTCGCTTCCTATGCGGTTAAGAAGTCTTTTTTTATTTGCTACACTTATGTACATACCTGATAGGCGGGAACTTTGGCACGCCGCATAATGGGCAGGGCATCCAACATCCCGCCGACTAATGGCGACAAACCACCCCAACCGCAATCCCGTCCAATGACACGCACCTCCCTGTACAAAATTAAATCCCATTAGGAACACAAAGCAGTTATTCTACTTAAAATAATTTTACTATTAGTATTAAGCGATTTTTCGACTGGCAATAATATAGATGGCAATCGTAACTGGCAACCACAGGCTTTGCGTAGTGTGGTGCCCATGCACAATGTAATTCTAATTCTGTTTGTCAATAAACGTGTTTAATTCTTTCATTTTCATATCCAAGTCATATTTTTGTAACGGTCTACTCTGCAAGTTGGCTTCAACTGTTGCAAGAAATGGCAGGTTCGATAAGTACCACGGCCTTACAGAAGACCAGCGTTAAGTGTAAATATAAATTCGCGTTTCGCGTGGGTGACATTAGCGGGGCCCACTTTATCAAAAGTCTGCGAAGCAACAATGCCCAAAGTTTTTGTGGTTTTCCCTGGGTGACAGCAATCAATCATATAACATTATTAAACACTTTAAAGGTTTGCTTGCGAACGATTCACATAAAAAAGTACATTAATAAAACCGACTTCAAAAAACTCTCTCACTGTGGTTTCTTTTTTTTTTTATGTGAAAAGTTGCCAAGCGAGCAGACGGTTCGGCTAATGTTAAGTGAATACCGCCACCCATGGACACCTGTTACACCCGAGGATTGCAAATGCGTTGACAACCTTTTGAAAATTGGGCTCCGGCCACCTCACTCACCAGACTTAACGCGAAAGTATTATACTTCCACTTTACGCCGGTCTTCTGTGAGATCGTGGTACTTACCCGGACGAGCCAGCCCATTCGTGCAACAGCCGAGGCTGCTGGCCCTACCACCGTAAAATTTTTAAGTTAAGGTTTTTTAATCCTCAATATCAACCAATATCAAATACAATCAATGCTTGATCTTTAGGAGTCCTCTGATGTATCTTGAGAGTCTAAGGTCTAAGGTCCAATAAAATCAATATGCGACCGCGTGGGAATTAACCGAAGCGAATGCAACAAGAATTTTTAAAATTGTTTCATAAATGACGGAGTTGTGAAGTAAGAAGTATGAAAAATGTATAACCTAGTTGAAAACCCCCTCTTTTTTTGAAGACGGTTGAAAAAGCGATTACGCAGGTCATTTTCTCTCACCATGTGTTGGTATCCCCGACAATTGCGACAGCTTGCATAGGCGTCTCCAATGTTTTGTTCAGGTACGTTGTGAGGTTGAGGTCGCGCCGTAGCTCAGTCTCCCATGTTTCTGGATTGGCTATCGTTCCTGGAACAGGGGAATATAAAAAATTACTACCCAATCTTTTGATGTGTCCTGAATAGACCGTAAAATAGAGAGGTTAACACGGTTTACATTAAAAAACTGACTATAAAAAGGTAACACTGCCCATAGACACGCTGCTATAGTACTCGGTGATAAATATAGTTATCTCAGTCACACACTATCGGACTGTTAGTGTTTCGTGCGACAGAGACAATGCCCTACGAAGCCTGAATTAGACCATTGTCTCTTTATATAGGTCTCTTTATATATATAGGTCGATGTGCAATATCTAATGTCGAGTAGCATGTACGTTGCATTCTCTTGATGTCAGTATCATAATGTAATATAAACGCTAGAGCTCCAAAGCACGACTTGTGATAAAGTTACGTATTAGTGTTGGCTTTTATATAAGCAAAGCAAGAAGTTCACCTGACGTAAATAAGTGCCGTCCATGTACATGTGCAAATTCAGTTGAAGTGATAGATGTTTTACCCACGTCTATGAAATAGTACCCGGTTACTTGACTCAACAGGCGAAACGCAAGAGTATAAAACTTGCACTGCCCGCCGTTCTATGAACTACTTCCCTTGCCGAGTCAGCCCATTGTTGCAGCAAAAGCTAATGGAATGTATGCCCTGATTGAAATCGCGAAAAATGATGTAAAGTTGCATAAGATCCAACTGTTTCACTCCATTGCTTTACGCATTCGAACCATTTTGAACGTAGAAGTTGTTCGAAGAAATATAAAAATATAAATCTTCAAATACACAACAACCAGTCCATTTAAACAAAAGATTGTTTCAAAAGATAAACTGTCAAAAACTTTTCGGGGCAGCGGAATATGAAACTGCGTTCCGGGAAACGCGTTCGTATTTTTTATAATTACGATAGTTAGTAGTTTAGTTTAGATGTTAGTAGTTTATCTTTTAAAAAACTCACGTTTAAATTTCATGTAGCGTGCAGATTTACACTAAAAACATAAGCCTTGTTAGACAATTAAATATCTCACCTTGCAATATTAGGTCGGGTATGTAGTGTTCCGTCACGCCGCCGAGTAGGGAGGCGTCGAATCCCGAACGCATCGCGCCATCGTGCGCTCTGCGGCAAAGGCTCGGTAGCGGAAACTCCAGAACCGTCCTCACTTCGCAAACGTCCTTCGGCTTCTCGCGTCTCATCGATGCGGATGCGGCGTTGGGGCCGTAAGCGCCCGCCTTCAGGTTCACCACGACGGTGTTCTCCTTGCGTTTCCTGACGAAGGTCTTCGGCGACATCTCCCGCTGCTCGTGGGCCACCGTCTCCTTGGCGTACTGTGGCTCCGCGTGCCTGGGCACGTCGTTCATGAACTCCATTTCGGACGCGTTCGTCGGCGTCTGCAGCATCGACTCCATCAGCTGGCACTTGTAGCAGATCTCGCACCTCTCCTCCTGTATCAGCGGCACGACCGTCGGGTCGAACTGGAAGTTGTCCAGCTTCAGGTTGCCCGGCTTGCCTATGTAGTGCCTGTCCAGTATCTCTAGGTTTTTGCTCTTCATGTAATTAGTCACTATCTGTGGGTACTTATCGAACTCGAACTTAAAACCGGAATGTTTTATTGGCTTGGAATGTTGGAGTGTCTGCCGGCAGCACTTGGACGGGTTCTCAGCGTTGCAGGACCTGTTTAGGTCGCAGGGCTGTTTGTTGGGGTCCTGGCGCCTTTCCGGCTCCGAAGGTACCGGCTCGTTGTGGACTCTGGAGGATCGCTTCACACTCTTCCCTCCGTTCGACTTGTTCTTCAGACCGACGAGCTTCTCGTCGTCGCCCAACACGAACACCACCCTCTTCTCCGGGTCCATCTCCACCGAACCGGACGAACTCCAGCTCGTGTCAGGCGACGCCTTCGACGAGATCAATATCGTGGGGTTCCTCCTGAGCTGGCCGGCCTTCTCGCCACACTCGACTGGCTCCGAACTAATAGAGAGCGTATCGTTAAGGTTAGAGAGCGTTGTCGACCGCTTAAGGCTGACCTCGCTCGGCACTAAGGTAGCGCTGCTGCCAGCGCTTTGAGTATTAATTGGCGGCACGTTCAAGCCGGATTTGTGATGTCCTAATCTACTCCTGCACGTCTCGCTCCTAGTTAGGCTGGTGTTTCGCGAAGGTTTGACACTGACAGCTCTGCTTTCGAGACAACCGCTGTCCTTGTAGAGGAAATCGGTCCTTGTGACGTCACCGCAGCGGACGAAGTAGGTGAGCACGGCCAGTAGCCTGTTGATGAATTGCGCGTTAGACGCCCCGGCGATGATGGTGCGCGCCGTTTTGGGCGGGTAACCGATACTCCCGCACAGATCTCCGAGCTGGGCCCACAGAGCGTTGTATGGACGGCGAAAGTCTGGCGGCTCCGTCCGCGACTCCTGAGGGTCGACGACGTCGTAAGGACTAACCGTGGTGACCCAGCCGAGGTGGTGCGTCAGGACGTTGGTGAGGAGAGTACTGATGAAGCTGAAACAAAAGCGTATTACAGTACGATCATAATAATTCTACCTCTGGTACGTCGTTACTTTATAATATAATCATAATCGTGTTTTCAGCTTATCGTAAAGACTGATGAACTATATACAAAATTTGGCGATGGTTTACATTAAGCGTTTTATACAAGTTAATTTCAACAAAATCAGAACACAGTTTTAAAAGTTAACTTGCTATCATCATCCGGGGGGGATGGGGTCGGCACAAAATATGAATCGTGTTGTAAGCAGTTTTGGAAGTGTTATACCCCTGCGTTTCTTCTGATAAGTGAGGTAGCCCACTTTATTAAAAGTTGGCAACGCATCTGTAACCCTACGAGTGTTGCAAATGTCAATGGTCGTTCAGCACTTAACATCAGTCGAACCGCCATGTCGTTTGCCGCCTTCTCACAAAAAAAGCACCTAAAATTATTGTGTATTTAGCTCACTAAGTACACTAAACTCTTGAACTCAAGCACATTAACAAGAACGGATTTAGTTGCACAACTAATTTGCACAATACGCGAGCGCGAAGCCCCCGCACAAAAAAACGATCACGTGAAAAATACGTAAACAGTACGTACAAAAATAACCGAGGAAAAAACGCGGCGCGCTAAATATAAACACGAGTTACATACGTCTTCATTCACACGTCTTTCGTAATTACCGAGGGACGGAAAGTAGCAAAGACGAGTGTCTATTTCCTAATTTATTTAGCGCGCTCGTTAATCTGGACTTTGTTGGATGCGACCCAGGAGAACACTCTACGCCGTACATATTTTGCGAGATTAATTGTTATTAGATTGAGTTGAACATCGGCTTAACACCCCCCGTGTTAAGCCGATGTTCAACGCGCGATTTCTCTTATACGTAATTAATTATATAATATCACGTTACATCGAACTTACTAATATAATTTACGACCACGATTTTGGGTTTAACTTCATTGAAAATAGTTTATCGCTGTTTCTGTTGCACGAATGGGCAGGTCCGTCCGGGGAAATACCACAAACTCGCAGAAGACAACCTTTTCACATAAAAAATATTTTATGTTTATTTTTTATAATGTCCATGGGCGGCGGTATTCACTTACCATCAGGTGAACCGTCTGCTCGTTTGGCAACTTTTCATATAAAAAAAATGTTTATTTTTTAAAACAATAATATTACTTTATGGATTTTGTACATAACCTCTAGCCTATTAAATAACAATTAAAAGTGTGTAATGATACTTACTCTTATATTAAATTAATATTTAAAAATAACATAACTAAAACCATGCAAAGTTAAAAATGTTATATTCTTTTCTTTAATCCAGATACTATACCCATCAAATCGAAACGTAAACGGAGTAGGCTTACCCTTAAAGTCATGTGATTCCCTCCATTTGCGAGAGTTATCTAACGGATCATTAAATTAGTGCGTCAGTGTGTATAAAGGAAAAATCTTCACATTCTCGCGTTTATTGATATATTTTCACCGCTCGACCGCGTCACGTGTTTCCGATGACGGTTCTGATGTTTGGATATCATATTATCGAGACGCGATATGGTTATTTTCGAACCGAAATCGACACGGTGATCGATCGTTCGATGTATTTGTAGAAAAGAGTTTCACTAGATTCCATATCGGCCGCATAACAGGCAAACGTTCGACAATAGATATATAAGTGATAAACGGTGGAGACTAGATCCAGTGAAGACAAGCGCATTCCCTTATATCAGGTAATTGACATGAAATTAAATGACGAATGGATACGAAGGAATAATATTGACGCCGAAAAGCGAACAACAGTTTTCGTTCATTCCAGCAACAACACTTTTCAACCGACTTCAAAAAAGGAGGAGGTTCTCAATTCGACTGTTTTTTTTGTATGTTTGTTGATTTATGTTTTTTTTGTGTTTGATGTAAACCGATTTTGATGATTCTTTTTTTTTTTAAGTCACACTTCTTTTGACGCGTTAAGGGAAAAGGATGAGAGTAAATTTTTACGATGCGCGCGCAAACCGTCACGAAAAACCGACACCCTGAAGTTAGCTAGACATCTACGTGAGAACTGACAACTGTAATCACGATATTTATTTTGTGATGTTTCAATAAACTTTATTTAACTAGATAATGCGTTATAATAAAACTTTCAATTTATACCTTTTTCTATTGTTAGTGTCGTGTTTTCTACAAACGTAGAATAAGGCGAAAGATAAAATTTTCGAAAAGATTTTTATCTTGTCCAAAGAAGTATAACTTCTAAAGCGTGTACATAAGTACACACACACTTTTCGAAAGCTGGTACTTCCCATGTGGTCCAATATATTGATATTTAATATTGGGCTCCGGAGATATTTAGGGACATCCTGAATAGTTATAAAATTAATACAGAGCGAGATATTTGAAGTCGTTTTTTTTTTTTTTTAATAAAATAAATTACTAACATTTTAGTTATGCTTAACGAGTAGGACCGTACGTTTTACATTGTTGAAACAATATGTGATCATCAATTCTGGTATTACAATGATTAAATTTATCTCAATAATCATTACAGAATAATGTATGACTTGTAAACTAGTGTTGTGCTAAATAAATTTAAAAAAAAAAACACAATCACACATATGACATAAACACACGGTAAACAAGCGTTCCAACATCATTGTTCCGTATAGCACGATCTACTCTGTCGAGACTCCCTTGCCTCATTAGCTGACACAGCCGACACGGTGGAAATATTTTCGGATGGCGTGACGTACATGACATCATTTTCCCGCCACTTTAGCGACCGTCCAGACTCAGCGACGTGACGAGAGACATTTGCCTCTGGCCATTTGCATTTCGGAAGGGCACCTCAAGGATTCCCGAATTATTACGATGCACAGGTAGCGTCAACATATTTAGATGGGACAGATGGTTAAAAAAGCTGACAACCCAGCCCGGGTAGACAGAAAGTCAGCGTGGTATACTTTTCAAATACATTATCATTTTAAGTATTGCAACTATGGGCGGAAAATTTCAATTTAAAAGTTTTCTGCACGATGAAATTGGAAATAACGGATGCATATACTTGGCCAAAGACGTGACGAGTCAAATACGCCTTAATTTTCAATTAAAATTATTGTATGAGAACTGTTTGATTAATCATTCTAGAATTATTATTATTTTTAAGAGAATACTAGACTTTCGTAAATGGATATAAGTTAAGGATTTTATTGTTTGGAATTTTTATTTAATTCCCGACGTCTACTAAGACGTTTTAGTACACCAGATCCACAACCTATTTTAATAACTTGGGTACTTTTTGAAAAGGAAAATAGAGGTTAACATCATCTCCTCTGTTATTTAATAAGTGGATGCGTAATCGTACGCATACCTGCTATAACCAATCACCACTATAGACTAATTAATTTAGCGAGCACAATTATTACATTCAACATAACGAACAAACTTCCTTACAATTTCTGAATATTCGTACCGCGAATATATCATTTGAAAAAGCTTGTCGTCTGCAGAGATCCAGGTGATAACGAGCGAAAATAATATGACATTACATTAATAATGTACCGTTGAATATGACACCTTTCCGTATAAAAGAATTCGCGACGCTTTACTTTGGCGCGACTCCAACCGTTGCTCCGTAATAAACTCTACGGGAATAACGAAAATCACTATACATCATTGTTATTGGTTGAATTTTTGCCATTCATAAATCACATCTTCAGCTCTTTGATTTCTTTTCGTTTATTGAAAATCATTTCACGCGCCTTTTGCCAAGAGTATCATAAGATATTTAAAAAGAATGTTTATAATTTTCTTCAATTTTGCTATTATTTTTTGATTCACTGTCTTGATGCGATGCTGTTCATTGTTACGATTCGGCGTGTTTATTCATTATGATTAGTGAAGGATGTGAGTCTTCCTTCGATACTTCCATAAATGTAGATTCGAAATTTACTGCAATTATAATATTCGCATGAATATTATGTCATTAATTCAAAGCATTATGGCCCCACTACAACCTTCGATACTTCCATAAATGTAGATTCGAAATTATGAAACGATTTCTTTGAGTGATAGTATCTTAATCAAAGGCTCTGTATAATTTTAACATTGAATTAGTGATGATAAAAGAACTAGAGCTTGTTGAAATTATTAATAAATTACCAAAGCTTCTGCATTTCGCCTGCATTTCGCGTGGCCAGAGGGCTAATCAATTTTATTCAATGACTAGCTGTGCCCGCGACGTCATCCGCGTGGAATTTAAAGTAAAAAAAAAATCTAAACTAAAAGTAGCCTAAGTTACTCCTTATTACATCAGCTATCTGTCAGTGAAAGTCCAATCAGCCGGTCAGCAAATCGGTCCAGCCGTTTCAAACATCAGCCGGAACGAACAGACAGACAGACAGACAAAAATTAAAAAAAAATATATTTTGGCATATTTACCGTGTATACATCCATATCCATTTAGTAAAAAGCGATTATTTTAATATTACTAACGGACACTCCAAATTTATTTATCTGTATAGATGAACATAAAACTCGCAACTTGGGTTATCAATAATACCTAATCGTAAAAAACTTTAAAATTTATAAAAAGCAATGGCGACATCTCTCGTTCGGATTATCGTTGTAAAACGATATTCGAAATTGTTTGTATGCTGGAAAGGATATAACAATAGATGCGCCAAGCATTGCTTCAAATGCTAAAAATAACAATGTAGAAAGAAGGTGTTAAGATTTTCGTCGCTGTGGCTATCAGCCGTTTAGCTCAGTGGCTAGAGGCGAACTCTCGCTTCAGGCGAACGTGAACGTCAGAAGACGTGGGTTCGATTCCCACAGCGGTTACAATCTTTTCGTACTTTTTCTACATGTTTTAATGTTTTAATACCTAATCACTCAAATTCAGGGAACCGCTTTTCGTTTGCCCCCTTATGACATAAAAACATAATTTCTAGATCGGTAAAGTTAAAAATACAACAATCAAGATAACGTGACAGTCGCACACGATGAAGTAGGTTTCGCACGCCCCGTGACCGATAAAACTTAGCACAGTGGCTTAGACCGAAAGAGCAAATATCTTTACATAAATTATTAATTAATACAACCTATTTAGACGAATTAATCTTATTTATATACGGGACTTTATATAGGGCAGTCTATCTTGACCACGTACTCTGCAAAGTATTCGAAACGGCGGGAATCGAAATCAAAAATAAACGCGGTGAATCCATATGAATAGAATCATTTAATAATGCGTAGTGATCGCGTAAAAAAATTTGAACGAGTCTATTCTAGATTATAAGCCCACAGCAAGTAGCCTTTTGCGGAGCAACACAATATCTCTAGAACAGTTAGTGCAAACACTCCGATACCGATACTGGACCTAGCAGTAGGGTTGCGAGTCATATTATAGCCTTAATATCAACCAACCGTAATACTAAATATAAATATTTTGAAGAGTCTGACAACCGCGGTGGGGTCCTGTGGTGGAGTATGCCCTAACACCTAGTTCGAGGCTACGTCGGCACATTCGCGGACAACGGTTTGCGCAGGCAAGGCTGAAAGGGACGACAATATCGCCCGGAAGCGATAGAGGGGGACGGCGATACGACGATCGCGCATCGATCAAACGGACGACAACAGCGGTCGGAGGCAAAACGGGCACTAAGATACGACGAAGGCCAAAGCTGAAAGGGACAACAGTAGCCATCGGAGAGGATAGAAAGGGACAGCGATACTCACAAGTTGGTGTGCTTCGTGTCGGCGGCGGCCAGCACGGCGCACAGGTCGGAGAGCAGCCGCTCGCAGAGCTTGCCGGAGATTCGCGCCTCGCCCGCGACCAGGCCCAGCCAGGCGGACTGCAGCCGCGGCCCGTACATCAGGTCGGACAGCCTTGAAAGCACCCACCCGCGCGATAAGTATTGAGCTGCGCCGATAGGCTTACCGCGCCCGCGGATTCCCACACCCTTTACGCTAAAACCTCAGTGGCGATGCTAACGACCAATGAGCGTATTGATAGAAATGATTTGCCCTGTTTGCAGAAATCGACACGTTCAGAAATCACTAGAGTATACGTTTCAAAGTTAAAATGAGCAAGCAGCCCAATTAGGTTTATATATAAGTAGATTATATTCCTTATCGCTGACATCATAGGAAAATATTTACAATCCAACCGTGTTGCGATAGTACAAATATTAGACTAAAAGGAAACTACAAAATAATGCAGTTCTACCAGAATAGTTTACTCTGTTGAGCTGGAAATATTTGATCTAAAAAAGACACATAAAACTCGATATACTAGATGGTTTTTATTGTAAATGAGGTTCTATATTAAATGAATAAAAAAGAAAAAAATTAATTCTATTTTCGAAATCAATTACCATCTAGCGGCGTCGAGAGCGGCTTTGTGTAGCGTAGAAACGAAGTTCCCGCCCGTTCCCGCGCTCAGCGTCGCCAACCTTAGGCGACACACGAGCGCCTGCAACTGGGGCGAGTGTTCCACGCATCGCCTGATGAAATCCCTGTATAAGAGAGTGAAACATAAGACGACTGTTATTGCATTAATGAATAATGTATAAATGTTTCAGAATATATTTTACAGAACGTCTAGCTAACTAAGCGAAGCTAGTACCAAACATACTTAAACATATTTACGGTAGATTCATATTAAATAAAAGGATATAAGAACCCAAACACTTAGAAACACTATGTTCATCACATAATATTTCTCCAATAGTAGGTTTCGAACCCACACACAGCGCAAAAGCCAGATTAGCTATTCGCTACGCCTAATCAATTCGGAAAGGGTTTCTAATAATTTACGAGACAATTTCAAACAGTATAACCGTAAGTTTGTACAGTTAGTTCGTTGATGACCCGAATGACGTAATGGGTAGTGCACCCGCCTCCTGCACCAGAGGGTGTGGGTTCGATCCCCACTACTGAAAGAATATTGTGTGATGAACAATAGTGTTTTTCTAGTGTCTGGATGTTTATATATTATATATAATATGTATTCATTTTACAAAAATAAAGGTATGTTTGTCGGTTACCAAAAGTACAAGCGTTTCTTTAGAGAATGTTGTGTCCTAAAAATATTTGAATCCTTTTCAGGTATTTTTGTCGATTTCTTACTACAATACCTGAAATGCAACTTATCTATCACGAGTTAGACGCGGTAGGAAAACGTCGCGAGGAAACTTCCATGCCTGGTATAATATTTAAAATATATAATACATAATATTTAAAAAACCTACAAGACTTTCGATTGTACGACAACGGCGGACGAGCGAATAGGAACTGTGCTGCGTTAATGTTAAGGTGCAATATTCGAAATTGTCGATGTTTATTGTAACATCAATATTAACGTTTCACGTTAAAGGGTCGTAAACCGAGCGCTGTCACGAGTTGAGAGCGATAAGACTAATACAGATAATGGAGCAATATAAACCAGTTTGTATCTAGATAAACATTTAGGTCTTGCTGAGCGATGGACGCCTAAGATGAAAGAAAGCCTATTATTCGCTGGACAAAATGCTTTTAGCAATCTCTGTGGTAGAGCTATCTCTAGGCAAACAACTGTGGTAGGACCACGAAATAGTGTTAACTGTTGCATTAATGGGCAGATGTGTCCGGGTAAGTACCACGACCTCGCAGAAGACAGGCGTAAACTAGAAGTGTTACACTTCTGCGTTTCGTCTGTGTGAGGTAGCCGGGGCAAATATTATTTAAAGATGGCAACCCATTTGCAACCCTACGGGTGTTGCAAATGTCCATGAGCGGCGGTTATCACTAAACATTAGGTGAACCGCCAGCTCGTTTGCCACTGTTTCACATATAAAAGAAAATCTATTGAGCTACGAATACCCATCACAAATATCAAAAAACTACTGTAAAAACTTTAATTCCTTCGGCTTATATATTAAGTGAATTACGCAGTTGACTTTGCACTCACTTATCAGAGGAATCAGGTACAGTGATTAGCAAGGCCAGGCCCAACTTGTTCCTCCTCGGCGCAACAGCAGACGACGCGCTGAGTAGACTATCAGTCGTTCTACTGGCTGTGCTGTTGCTATACAACTGTCGACAAACGAGGAATGTTTCTTAAAGTGGAATGTTTCTGAAACTTAAACAAAAACATTAAAGTCTGCATCAAATATCTCACTCAATATAATCTATACAGGTAAATAAAATTGGAGTGTCTGTTTGTAATATTAAAATAACCGCTTTTTACTAAATGCATATGGATGTATACACGGTACATATACCAAAATATTTTTTTTACAATTTTTGTCTGTCTGTCTGTCTGTTTGTTCCGGCTAATCTCTGGAACGGCTGGACCGATTCGGACGGGACTTTCACTGACAGATAGCTGATGTAATAAGGGGTAACTTAGGCTACTTTTATTTTAGAATTTTTTTTATTTTAAATTCCACGCAGACGAAGCAGCGGGCACAGCTAGTTAAATATATTTTCTATTTCATATTGAGGACTCAGCTGATGTGTGATGCATAGTCCTATACCAATGAAATTATTATGGGACCACGTGGAATCTAAACCGAGCAAATTGAAAAATAATTTTGAGAAGTCGGCTGAAAACCGTTCCAATAAGTATTCAAAAGTCTCTTCACAAAAAAACAAGTCGTATCTGATAAATGTGCAACTTACGTTGAAGAATATTAATATCAATTTTGATAATAATTACGGATAAATTTCACCAGCAGGGCTTTAAGAACAGAATATGCATCGATTGATTATTATATATGTTAATGGAAATATATATACATACGTTAACGTTATACGTTTATACTATACGTTAATCTCTGGGTTAGACACAATATTTATACTAATGCAAACGATGCGAAATTTCCTCGAGTAAATAAAAATTTTACCGCTTCCATTGTGGGAAGTATAATAAAGAACATATTTACGTACAAAACTTTCATGTTTTGATTACGTCCATATCATAGAAACTTTTAGTAAACCTGGCCAAAAAATCGAACCATCAAAAGAAAAATGAGCCAGTGAATAATTTTAAGAAACCTTGAATGTATGTTATGTCATAAGTTTTAATCCATTCAAAGCTTATTTAAAAGCGTTATTATAAAGAAAAAAAATATATTGAGAACCAAAAAAAATATGAGGAAATGATTCTGCATATACCATGCAGAATCGGTGATGATGCGTTTGTCTTGGTTTCCGATGATTTTATGCCAATGTCAATTTGTTGGTACAAACTATTAAAAAACTGGTCTAAGGTATATAACCGGTTGACCTTTATACGAGGCTTATTCAAGTCTTTAATGAGTAAAGAAAATTTAACTTTGTCATTAGTCTAATAATTGTTTAAATTACCTTTTTTTAACAAACGATTTACCTTGATCTGTTAAAAATTATGTAATCTAAAGTGTGACTAAACTACGGACTGGAACACTTTCATTTGTCATGAATTAATGCGGACCGTTACAATTATTACACACGAAGCTGTAATTAAATTATCGATTACGTATCAGCAACGCGCGGTCATAACAATTCAGTGTTGCTAACAACATTTTGAAACAGGTCGAAAATATCGATGTTTAACATTCAAGAATACGTTAAATATTCAAAACATTGATAAACCCGACTTGATAATATCATGGTCGCGACTTCCGTCGAGATTAATGTTCTTTTTTCCTTATTTTCTGTTTCAGAATCCTCATAAAAACAATACAAGTCATAATTATATAACAATATTCAAAGATCAATTCACAAAATATTTCTAGTTTTATTCTTATACGCTATAATGTCAATAAGCAGTTATCAATTAATATTTAAATTAATTATTAACCCCATACATCTCTCATGAGATAATTCACATCCTCATTGAGAAAGCGAATAAACCCATTAAAAAAAACAACATTGAAATAAATAATCCTAATAATGCAACCTTAAGAATGACTAGAAAAAACAGTATTAGGATCAGGTCACGTGTCACGGAGATTACGGTGCGGAAATCATTAAGGAACAAGAACAGCTAATTAATTGCAACTAAATAATAATTTCAATAAATTTGTCTAGATCATTGTTGAATTGCGTTCGTCATTTCAAACCCGAAGTTTATGTAGACCCGGCTAAAGGCTTTACTGTAGTAAAGACAAAATAGGTCAGCTGATCCAGTGCCCACGCTCGTAAAGGTAGGTCCACATTTGTCGCATGGGGGCGAAAAAGATATTTCATTCTTATAACATTTCGCATATTTAGAGGTACCTTTATTGATATTTATTATCACCGCCCACCTCACTCTCCGAACGAAACACAGACGTGTAACATTCCCACTTCCCGTCAGTCTTCTGTGAGGTCGTGGTACTTACCCGGACGGACCTGCCCATTCGTGCAAACAGCGAACACACTTGCGTGGCCCTACCACATCTACAACGACCGTGGAGTTCGCGTTCGTTCGTGATGCTATCTTGGACGAAAGTGCCCATTCGTGCAACAACAAAAGCTGCTTTAAGACACCACCCGAGCTTACTGCCCAAGTGTGAGGCAACATTAACGAGCGGCACGACACACCCGACGATTACGCGCAGCGACAATACCATCGGACATCGGGTCCGTTCACTGTTGTGATACGGGCGCATCGCGTTCTTACGTAGTGCTTCCCCTGACGAGAGTGCCCATTCCTATTCGTGCAACATCAAAAGCTGCTGCGAGACACCACCCGATCGAACCGCCAAGTGTGGGGCCACCTTAACGAGCGGCACGACACACCCGACGATTACGCGTAGCGACAGTACCATCGGACATCGGATCCGGTCACTCACGTGATACGGGCATATTGCCTTCTTACGTAGTGCTTCCCCTGACGAGAGTGGCCATTCCCATTCGTGCAACATCAAAAGCTGCTGCGAGACACCACCCGATCGAACCGCCAAGTGTGGGGCCACCTTAACGAGCGGCTCGACACGCCCGCAGATTACGCGTAGCGACAATACCATCGGACATCTGGTCCGGTCACTCTTGTGATACGGGCGCATCGCGTTCTTACGTAGTGCTTCCCCCGACGAGAGTGCCCCTTACCATTCGTGCAACATCAAAAGCTGCTGCGAGACACCACCCGATCGAACCGCCAAGTGTGGGGCCACTTTAACGAGCGGCACGACACGCGTAGCGACAATACCATCGGACATCGGGTCCGTTCACTGTTGTGATACGGGCGCATCGCGTTCTTACGTAGTGCTTCCCCTGACGAGAGAACCCATTCGTGCAACATCAAAAGCTTACTGACCACGTGTGAGGCAACCTTAACGAGTGGCACGACACACCCGACGATTACGCGTAGCGACAGTACCATCGGACATCGGGTCCGGTCACTCACGTGATACGGGCGCGTCACGCGCTCGTGCGCGGCGATAAAAACGTCGCTCTATTGCGACGAGATTATCGCGAGCGTCTCTCTACGCTGTAAAAATTTTGTAACAAAAAAAAACCGACTTCAAATGTCTCACTCACTACACATTTTCTATTTGGTTTTGAAGGTTTCCCTGGTGTCTAATACAATGCACCTTTTTTCGAAACAATCCCTAAAACGACGGAGTTTGAGGTTTTTTTTAATGTGATAAGGTGGCAAGCGAGCTGGCGGTTCACCTGATGTTATGTGATTACCGCCGCCCGTTGACATATTCGACACCCGCAGGATTCACGCATTGCCACCTTCTAATAAAGCGGGCCCCGGCTACCTTACTAGACGAAACGCAGATGTATAACACTTATATATAACACTTACCTGAACAAACCAGGCCATTCGTGCAACAACGCAGACTGCAGCATGGCATTGCCGCAGTTAAGGAAAGAAACTTAAGAAAAAAGCGTACAACCCTATAGAGTACCTCCTCCTTTTTTGAATTCGGTTGAAAATGAGCCGAAACGCGGTCGGCCGCGTCAAAGGATGCCGTGTCGTGGCCTCATCTGTATCAGGTGTATCAGTGTCACGTGTCATTTGTGTCATGACTAATATCGGCGGACGGTGAATTATCACAGTACGTAGTGACGTTCGCAGCTGTTCCGTGAATGTATAAAAATATTGGTGACATACGGAAGAAGCCAGTGATAGTAACTATGTACATTGCGGCAGCGTTAGTAACCAAGAGAAAGTTCTCCGTGACATTCAATTTGTTACCCAATCACGTGTTTAAAAACTTGGCACGAGTTTTTCACTACATATGGGATACAGAGAGAGACAGAGATAGACACTGTATTGGTAGACGTCTTCGGAACTTAGTAATTAAAATGATGTTAACTTAGTTTACACAGTTTTTCAGAGAAGCTTATGCGTTAGAATGCTAGGTTAGAAACAAAATTCGCGGACTTTTACATATACAAATTGGTCATATTCTAATGTCCATGACATTATGTAGATTCAAGAGTCGGAACAATTTCAGACTGTGGTATATCACGATGTATGTCTGTCCCGTGACCGTAGACTATACTTTTCTAAAGGTCGGAAATTAAAACTAAAATTAAACGTGATAAAATCCGAAAATTTTTAATTTTAAGTTTTACTTAACAGGTGCTTCATTCCCAGAAACTTAATTATTGATTCGGTGGCATATTTTGTCATAGCTTAGTTATTTGGTGGTAACATACGTTGACTACCTCTAACAAAATCCTTATACAGACTATTTACTTCTAGCCACGCGTATTAAGCACTCAAATTCATATCTCCGACCAAAAATAACATACCAATGAAATATACACACTTGCAAACGTTGATATTTCTATCTAGACAAAACACTAAGTTTTCCTGTAATAAAATCGCATTGAAATATAAGAAAGTCGGTTACCTGAGAGTCAGAGCTGTCGAGCGTGGCGGTTGATGTGGGGACTTCGAGAAGGTTCGAGCTCTGGCCCAAATCGAAGCGCGTCGCCAAGTTCTGGAAGGTTCTACGCTGCCAACTGCCTCTGCTTGAAGTGCTAAGTTTGCGGCCCGTGGGAGCTGTTACCATAATAACGCACGTACTATATACATAATATACTGTGAACTCTCTACTAACTCTCTAACTAAACTTAGTAGCAAATTAACCAATATATCTGAGGTACAGCAGACGCATCGTATTTGTCTAAATCAATATAGAAATCACTTTAGTTTAGAAACTATACCTTATCGTACTTAAAGAGAATGAAGACATGATCATTGCATAATTATGCAATAAAAATACCTTAACTTACAGTATTTTTTACAACGGTGAACATTTACCTAACACCTTCAAATATAACCAACAGTGAATAAAAGATAAGATAAAAACGGAAGCCATTTAAAAAAATGCAAACGCTTGAGACCGTTTTAATTTTCATTATCGTTTATGTCAGTCAAGCTGTCGTGAATCGTGTTTTTTTTTTTCATGTGATTGCGTAATATTTTAATGCAACGACAAAGGACAAATATTAACTATGCACTTTACGCCCACAAATCTTTATGATAATTAATCAAAGTGCCGTCATATTGACCTTGGCGAATAACCTTTGTTTCTAAAGCTACAGCCTTTATGATGTCATACACAACGAGTTTGGACTTCATGGGCTATCTTAGTTTTATGTCATTAAGAATAGAACTTGCGTGTTACAACAGAGATTGAAATAATTTCTGAAATATTTCAATCTCTGTCCCAAAGAGGGTTGACGTCAGTTTAAAAAAATGTTAGCAATACCTTTAAAAGCATGATGCGCATGTGCCAACCCCACCAAGGATAAAAGCAGGAGAAAGAAGATCAGAAACACATCAACGGACTCTGGTCCACCTTAACATCTAAATTCTATCATCATCTTAATCATTTCAGCCTGTTCCAATCTACTGCTTGGCATAGCCCTCCGAAACAGGCTGCCACGAAGCAAGATCCTGAGGCACTTCATCACTTTGAAATAGAAACGGGAAATATTTTAGTAAGTAAAAAGTTCTCGACAAACAACTTTCTTGACTTTTCAATACCAGTATGTTCTTTGGATTTTTTTTATGGAATAGTCCATTTTGTAATATTTTAAGTTATACACTTAAGAATATTACAAAATGGATATAATTGTATGAGTAAGCCTCTATCACGTGGCTTCGGATACGTACACAAACATACCTTTTATTATGATGTAATTAATAATGCAGTATCAAAGTAGTTCAATATAAAGTCATCACATGTAACGTTTAGTCAAATAGGAAAACTAAATAGATACATTGTCAGTTACATCAGAGTAGAGACTCGATGGAGTTGCTAAAGCCTCGGGAGCTGGAGGTCGTGGGTTCGATTTCCTCACGAGACAAGTAGTTCTGTGGGTGTTGGTGTTTATTCTCATAGGAGGATCTCATAAGGAGGGTTGACGTCAGTCCTAAAAAATCCTAGGCAATACCTTTAAAATCATGTTTCATGTGTACCGACCCCCCCAAGAATAAAGGCAGTAGAAAGAAGAACAGAAACCATATACACATCAACAGCCTAATCTAAAAGCGTCAGAGCACAAAGGAACATACGATGGAGTCATACATTGTACCCTGTATAATACTGCACAATTTTGTACTATTTATTCTACAACAACGCTCAATACAACATTGCCGATGTGAAGAGCAAGTAGGACTGTATAAAACCTAAGAACAATACAAGATTACGCTCCACGCTGAAAATTACGCCACTAATGGGAACATTAACGAGATCGGAAAGCGTTTGTACGCCAATCGAGTCACTTCGTGTTGAGTCCTTCACACCCGTACCAGCCTGCCTGAACAAGGATTGGTACAAGAACACCTCTCCCTAGCGATGACTGTACGAACCGGCTCGGCCAAACAAAAGCCGACAGAAAATACATACACACAAAACTTATGTACACACAAGCAATATTGGACTGTCTATTCTCTCGACACAGCTTTTCGAGAGCTTATGTGGGCTTTGGAAAAGCGTTCATCTATTCGGACAAACTTTTAATATCGAATTTTTGAGTAACCGCTAGTAAACACTATACAGTGTTTTATGGGAACTACGCAAGATTTCGTAAAGGTTCAAGGTTAAAAGTTCATTGGCATATTGCCAATCACCTTGTTTACTGTAAAGTTTACGTGTTCGAAGCTTTGACGTCTTTCAATACCAAGTGTGACAGAATGTCTAGTTTTTGCCAAATTTATTACGCACGAAACATTTAGTAATTAGGTGCTCATGTACAGGGCATAAATAGGCATATAGGGCATATGCAAACGGATAACCTTTAAAGCCATTCCAAAAACAGTACGCCACGCAAGTTGACGTGCCTAATTTCCGCGTGTGTAAAACCAACGTAAGGTGACAGTTATTACTTACAGTGAAAACTTATTTCATCCTGCGTACCATCGCCAGCGTCAAGCATGGAGTAGTAATCGAAGCTGGACCCGACACTGCTGTAAGGTGACTGCTCGCCATAGAACCCTGTAGACGACGTTTAGTTTATTCACAAGCTTTAAACACGATTTCTGTCTGTTTGTGTCGACCTTATGATTTCAGCAGATAAGTTAATTAGTAAATATCGGCATATTTACACTAAACTTTGTACTAAATTATTATGCAATAACTAGTTATAAATACGATTGTCAATGTCAAATGTAAAATTAAATGCAAAACAAACAATAAAACGAAATATTTCACAAAAATAAAACACTTGATAATCAAATGATATATATCCAAGGCCCACCTTTAGTTAATAGAATTGTAATTTGATGTAAATGATAACTGTAATAAAATATCAAACGCAAATGTTTGGAAAGTCAGGAACTTATTATGTAACCATACAAATATTTCGGATGATAAATTATCAAGTTTTTTGCAAAAGTATTATTATTAATGAGTACTACGAAAAGAAATATTACATTTATTTCAAAAATAACACCATATGACCACATCACGACAGAGCAAATATTTTCTTAACTAAAGATAACACTCAAACAAATTCTTTGATAAAATTCGAGATATTTATAAAGAAGGGCCTGACATGTATTTCCTTCTATGATACAACTGAAATATCTCTGTTTGTGTATATATAATAGAACGCTGATATATTTAGACTGTTTATTTTTATATGTTTATTTTGCGACGGAACAGTTTGTCCAGCGCGTGATCAAATGTTAGCACATAGACGAAACGCTGCTGATAATGGATTCAATTTGCAAGCAAAGACAAGTGAACACATTTAGAACTTAAATAAAATTATATATTTGTTATCTGCATATATGTTATATTTTAGCGCACATCTATTAACTCATTTTAACTGACTTCAAAAAAGAGGAGGTTTTTCAATTCGACCGTATATATATTTTTTTTATGTGTGTTCGGGGATAACTTCACTTTTTTAACTTTAACTTTAACGTCAATTATGAACCGATTTTGATGATTCTTTTTTTTTGTTGGAAAGGAGATATCCCAAGGGTGGTACCATGATAAGGAAACACAGATCTGATGATGGCATCGCACAGAAATCGAGCGCAATCCTCAAATGTAATAGGTGTTGACAATGTTTTTAGTTTCCTGTTTTAAGTCGTTTTTTTTGTTCAAAATTATTATAGTCTTCATTTAGCACCTGCCATCTACTTTTCACCATGACAAGGATTGACTGGTAGAGAATGCCATTAGGCATTAAGTTCGCCCATTGTAGCCCTTAGCTTAAGGTGTAGCAATGAAGTTAAAATAAATAAATAATTAAAATGATCGAAAAAAGATCGATGGTAATTTAAGTCAGATCAGAGAGAAGCAAGCGTTTTTGGTCAATTTATCTATTAAAGTCCATTGCAAGTTTCATCATTAGTGCATACTAGCACTGAAAATAATGACACCGTAATACTAAAGCAAAGTTCCGCGTGACTTACACAACAAAAACAAAAAACAGACGAAAACTAAAGAGCAACCCAACCGTTCGAGCCGTCCTGTTGACAACAATCGATAAAATAATCGATTTTTGCGCACTGAGTCACATGCCCGAATCGCCCCTATCGATGGATAAGCTTAAGGCGACGCCCTCCTCCCTCAGGGTTTGCACTTCAGAGAAGAAAGCGTTTTTTGGTCAATTTATCTATTAATGTGCATTTTAAGTTTCGTCTTTAGTGAATACTAACACTAAAAATAATGACACCAAACAGCAAACTTCGTCGTGGCATACACAAAAAAACAAAACAACACAAGAAAACAAAAGAACAACACAACCGTGCGAGCCTTGTTGTTGACAACAATCGATAAAATAATCGATTTTAGCGCACTGAGTCACATACCCGAATCGCCCCTATCGATGGAGAAGCTAAGGGAGACTCCCTCCTCTCTCAGTGCTGGCACGTCCAGAGGCTTGGAGGCGTTGGGGCCGCTGTTTGCGTCACTCGACTTGCTGTCGACGCGGCTCGTCCGCTTTGTTGGCACGCAGAACACCTTCGTGCACATAAACCTACGGGTACACTAACATTAAACGGGAAATTAGGTGAAAATAGCCAATGGCCGATTGAACGCCGTCGTAGGGTCGGACTAACAATAGACTGGGTGCTTAATTGTCGATTACGTCAATGTTTCATCGATTTTTGCGAGAAATAAATGCTCGGCATACAAATAATAGTACTTTCATATTACATACTAGCTGCTGCCCGCGACTACGTCTGCATAGAATAGGCTGAAGGTGTATCATTTAGACAGATCTACATAAAAAAAATGTATATAAATTATAGCCTATGTCTTATTCTGATGTATAAGCTATATTATTGTAAAGTTACATTCAAATCCATCCAGTAGTATTTGCGTGAAAGAATAACAAACATTCATCCATACATACAAACTTTCGCCTTTATAATATTATTAAGGAAGTAAGGATGGTACCTTAACACATTTTTATTGATTAAATAAAATATTTGTTTAACATAAAACCTTTTCGCCGCCTCGGGAATCGAACCCGATTGCCACGCCAACGGAATTCTCAACTTACTTATTTTATCTACTGGTTCTTTCCGCATTTTAAGCAATGCTTGGGGCATCTATTGTTATATCCTTTACAGCAGAAGGACAATTTCGAATAACGTTTTACAAAGATAATTCGAACGAGAGATTTCGCCTTTAAATTTTACACAGTGTTTTAATGTTTAATCTTAAATGCACAGATTAGCACTATAAAAACTTTATATAAAATTTAAATTGAAACTCTTATCTGCGTCATGTGACTGCATGTGCCAATACCAAGAAGAGATATCGTTAACACAAAACTGTAGTGTCGTCATAAGGTGAAAAAAAATAGTTTTTTCGAGAATTCCAGTTTAGTACGATTTTATATTTTGTCCAATACTTCAACACAAAATATGTGTGACAAAGGATCTCTATACAGCGAAATTTTAGCAGCATTGTAGAAAAAATGAAGCGCTCTTTACGATATAAAAAAAACGTCATGTAATTCCACCGGTTCACTTTGTTGTTTCATGAAAGCGTACCAACTCTGGCGAGCTGCCAACTTTCGCGCTAATTTCACCTTTTTTACAGAGGTTCAAGATCAAAAGTACATTGGCTTACTGCACTTCAGACGCAAGTCGTATACCGAGCGAAAACTAGGTAAGCCCATGCAAGAAAGTGGGCATTGTATTTCGGCAAAACTATTATGAACACATAGGGACTGGCGGGCGGAGTTTTGGTAATGCCACACAGTTTCTGCCGTTGCACAAATGGGCAGGCTTGTCCGGAGAATATGGAAGTATTATACTTTCGCGTTTCGTCTTGTGTGTGAGGAAACAGGGGTCCACTGTAGGGGGTACATTAGCAACTTTTCACATAAAAAAATAGTGATGGGTCATAGGGATCCATCTTGATCCTCTAAAAACAGGACATTTCTTTTTAGTATACTACTCACTTAAAATCTGACCAACTGACCACAATAAGATAAAAGAATTAAGACCTCAATACAGGCTCTTATGGTAGATGACCACCACCATCCATGGACATTTGAGTTAACAGAGGAGTTGCAAAATCGTCGCCAACTTTCATCTTAGGAATAGGCCTTTGTCTTGAGACGTTAGCAACAAATGATTTCTTTTAAACATTCAATACATAATTATACAGTACATAATTATATTGACGCTTTTCGAACTTGTATTATTATATAATATTATCCTGTACTATCACAAGCAATACATACCTCTTAGGGTCATCCATGATGTGAATCTTAAGAGATACATTCTTATAATTCATAGCGACAGCACCAAATATCATGTCCCCAAGAAGGCTCGCGTCCGCCGCCGCTCCTTTATACTGAATACAAACAATAAAGGAATAAGTTATCTCATACTATATGTATATTCGCATTGCTTAACCTACGTCTTACAGAGAGTTTAAGTTACTACTCCAACACGTCCACCACGCAGCCCTAATGCAAAATGTAATACTTAATTTCTCAGCGAAATATGTATTTTATATACCGGACGTACAAGCAATATTTTATTTGATTTAATGTATAAAAAATAAGCATAAGCACAGCATACCATAGTAGATACATCATAGCCGAAATCAATGCGAAACAAGATTGTTTACTTAACATAGATAGACATGGACTTTATAATCATCCTAACGCAAACCTAACACATAAATAATGTCTTGAATGCATTAAAGAGAAACAAAATGCTTAACCAAAAGCCAATAAATTACAACACAATAATGGCTTTTGTCGAGTCACGCAATGGCCCTATCGATCTAGCCAGCACATAGAAACGCTCACATATAACCATTATTTATCCAAGGGCTGGTGATATATGACAAGCAGACATGCTTTGACTACTAACACATTCATGCAACATTTCTACCCCTATTTACATATAGAAAAATATTACACCATTTGCATAAAGTAGCATTATTCACACCAATCGTTAAAAAACATCATTCGTAATGTTTGTGGTATATAACACCTACCACGAATATTAAAGATAATTTCGAATAACGCTAGAATAGTACATAATATACCATACTGTGGTAGGGCCACGAAACGTCTTCTACTCCTGTTGCATAAATAGGCAGTTCCGTCCGGATAAGTACCACGAAAAAGACCAGCATACAGCAGAAGTGTCACTATTGACACTACTGCGTTGCGTCTGGTGAATGAGGTAGCCGGGGGGCAATTTATTAAAAAATGGCGACGCATCTGCAACCCTACGGCTGATACAAATGTCCATGGGTAGCGGTTACCACTTAATATCAGGATAATCGCCACCTCGCTTGCTGCCTTCCCACACTACACGAAATAAATTCGCATAGATATTGATTTATGAGATCATTTCCTGTACTTTCGTCAAGCGTCGGAGCGTAAATAGAACTCATTACGGCAATGGGAAAATTCTGATCGTCGCCTATAAAAAAATTGGCTACTTGCACCGATCGTCGCCTCTCGAAGAATAAAGCATAACAATGTTGCAAACGACGCAAATACTATGACACTATTTTTTTTGTGCAACAGTGTACATATAGCGGTGAAGTTATATAATTATCTTTCTCTGAGAAGGTATCAATAAATAGCGGCAAAATACTGTGAATTATATCGTCCGTAAAAGTACTGTTTATGTTTTAAAATAAATTATCACCATAACATAGTACCGAATAACATCAACTGTTCGAAAAAATCTCGAAAGAAATATGATTCTTCCAGCTTAGGATTGATAACATTTTGAAGATTTTCTCTTGATACGTCAACTAAATACTTTTTCGAGATCGTATTTTTTTATTCATAACCAAAACTCGTTTTTAAATATTCGTTTTAAGTTAACTTCTCACCGCCTATGAATACTTAGAACATATTTCCATATTGTATTATATCGGAAACATATTAGGAAGAAATATTAGACAAAAAGAGTGCGGATTCACAGGAAACAAATAACAATCGTTTTCCGTTTTTATTTAGTACCGAAGTACTTAAGATCCAGCCATTTGCGGCGTTTTAACCTAAAATAACACAAAACACCGAAAATAACCAAAACCGGCACCTAAAAATAGAACAAAATTTTCGCTTTACAAATATAGAAAAGGTAAATTTCGCACTTAGCGCTTTTGGCGAGTGCCATAACAACCGCAGCTTTATATGCGACGCGTTAATTCACGTAAATCGAGCACGAGTACCTAGTACGTACATACATACATATTTCGTCAATCCCATATACGGCGTCGGTCACAATCGAAAAGGCTACATCTAATTGATCTAAATATAGAACGCGAGCGATGCGAATAAACCTACAATAGGTCGGGTCTCGTGACGGCGTGATGTATCAATTGTCGGGTTATTTTTATTCTGCGCTTGATAAGGCTCCGCGTATACTTTCCGGGCATTCGGAAACTGGGAGGCTGCGGAAAGTAGAGATGGGGAGCTCTAGGGACGCATACGTACTATATGATATGACGAGTTTTATGCAAATTTACGCAGATTCAATATTTGTTTAAACGGCAAGTGCACCATGTTAGGGATGACGGCAAGCTTAGCTGTGATCGGCAATTAGAACAATGCATAAGCTATCTCATTTTTGTATTGGTGAGCGACACTAGCAAATGACATGTCGATGGCAAAAACGAGCAACAATAAAAACGTGTATGTGTTTGGGAAAAGGTATAATAACCTTTGATTATATCCTTGTAGTATATAATCAAACGGTGTAACGTGTAGGAAGCTTGTAGTTTTAGAAAAGCACATTGAGCATAACCAATCTCATCTCCAACATTTGTATCTACTATTCGACTGTAAATGTTTAATTACGATATAATGTGTTTTATCCATATGAGGCCGAATCTTAAAAGTTAGTAAAACTATGATTAAGAACGTAATCTTATATATGAAAATGGATTGCTGTTCGTTAGTCTCGCTAAAACTCGAGAAGACTAGACCAATTTGGCTAATTTTGGTTTTGAAATATTTGTGGCAGTCCAGGGAAGGTTTAAACGATGAGGAATTATGGAAAAATTGCATGGAAAATCAACGATTTTATTTTCCCATACAAACTGTACCTGTCATCTTTTCAACTATGTCTGTGTACCCTGTCAAACACTTTATGCGTGTGTTCCGATTCCTCTAGAAATAATTTATATGGCAAAACAACATGTGCCGAGTCAACTAATTAATAATAAAACAAAGTCGCTTAAAGACGTTATAATGAAGTTATAACATAAGTTACAGTTTTGAATGACACAATAATCTGAGGGAAATACATATTTATTTGAATATACACAACTTAATTTCAAATACCTTAACTTCTTCTTATCATTACAATGAGTGAGAAATTATTAGTATTGGTAAATCCAACAATTAGGAAAGAAGAAGCAAATGTGCAAACACAAAAACTTCTTATTCCTAACTTCCGTGAGGCCGTGGCATACCCAAATAAAACTATGGACTTAAGAATGATAATTTAAAGATAATTTTGCCTGGCTCTGAGGAGCAATTAAAATACTCTTTCAATTTGATACCCTAGAAGACTGACGGCAACGTTGTTTTTTGGTGCTAATGTACAAAATTTGTCAATTTATTAACCAGTATTAAGTTATTAGATATAATAAGCAGAAATGAATATCAATAATCAGAATTGTAATGCTTAATTATTTTATATTCCACAAGCATCCACGTAATTTGCCAAAAATAACCCTTTTCTAGAATGTGTTCCTTATATAAGTGTGTTGTACTTACAACTAGTGTTGAGTCAGTAGATATATTTCATTAAAAGCTGAGTGCATTCAAACGACGTATTCGAAGCAGATACCTTATGTATTTTTTTTCTTCTTATTTTTACTTTTGTATTTAGTTACTTTTCAATAGCTTTGTCTTTTGTTTTAAAATTTATGATTTAATTTTATTTAACGATATCGAAGCATCTATAGTACATACATTTTTGGCGGACGTATGTATAAGTTACGCTTGTTCAGTTTATTCTACTGTTTACTGTTCTGCGTACCAAATAATATAAATCACCCACATCTCCCTGGACGCATTGAAACCAACCAATACGCAACAGCAACTGTTGCTAAGTGGCCCTTCCGTAATAATCATAACATGAATTCGACAATTGTACAATCTTTACACCGAAATCACTACACGTCCCGAATTTTAGTTTAAACTTAAATCCTATAACATTAAAAAAATATTGGCGTTGACGAGCATCAATGTAGTTATTAATTGAAAATGTGTTTTAAATAATAATAGCTAAATCCAATTTCACTTCTACTTCTGGTTTCACTATATTAAGTTAATATTCGTGTCCTGAGGTTACAAGAAATCTACCTTCATGCACTTTCTACATGCTTTTTCTGCTCTGTGCATCTACGTAGTCTAGCTACTGCCGATGTTAGAACAAAAAATGTTTTCTCGATTCGCGCTTGACCGGTTTTTATGTCACATTAAAGAAATGATAGTTTATACAGCTGTAGTTGTAGCCTAAATCTAGCTTTTTTTCTCCTAAAGAGTTTGTATTATAAATCAAACACTCATGCAACATTCAAATAAAACTGAAGCCATGGTTTATAAAAAATATTTATAATACCTTGTCAATTTCTCTACTCATTTTGTTGATAAATGGCATAAGTACCTTAATATTTAAAAAAAAATACATAATGAATGAATATGGTTCATTTGAGGCGTAAAAAGATTTAACTATGTACAAAAATATGATTAGTTGCGCATATGTTGCAATATGCACGCCTTAATGCTACACAAAAGCTTACTACAGTCGGTTTTTGGATTAGTCATAGAAATAAGTTAACAACCACGGTCTTTTCAAGACACTTTTAATAAAATTGCATATCTTTTGAAAAGAGTGTTAACCGCTAAGTTTTCTATAAGGTTGAACACATTATGAAGCAATTACAAAACACTTTGGTCATTGGTTGTTTGTTATTTCTTCACTACTATCGATAATAAATTACACCCTCCGCCCTGCGTAGACATTTACAACACCCGAGCTTAAAGATGTGTTACGTTTTAAATAAGTGGACCTGGTGATCTTACTCATCAGATGGAACGCAGAAATATAATACCTCCACTTTATTCCCGTCTTATGCGAGGCAATGGTACTTCCCTGGGAGAATGCGTATGGGTGCACAGATTAATGTGTAACACTACCACAGTAAGGCTGATTTCTACATTATTTAAAAAGGAAATAAAAACAGTGCATAAATACTATTATTTAACTACTCTGTATATTGCCTATTTACAATTTAAAATCTAAATTATTTATTTCAATTCATAAATAATAATTATTGCTTTAAGTCAAATTATGTATTTGCTTAAAGGACCCATGGGCCTCCCCTTTAAAACTTTATGGGAGACTATATTTCAAGTTTTGCAGGTAAATAAATTGCGACGTAAAATTTTCAATAATAAACTCACCACATAAGTGAATCCATCAGACACCTCCACAATGCATGGCACCTCATTCTTTTGATGTTTGTCTGGTTTATCATTTTTAAGGCTAGGTATTTTTTCTATCGTTGACGAATCAAAGAGTACTTTTCTCCCTCTCCAATCACACTCTTTAAATAGAAGCAACCTAACTTGCTTGGGAGCTATCTCACAGGACCTATTAAAAATATGACAATTAACAATTTTTTAAAACTAAAGACATAAGTTATATGAGAATAATTTTAAAAACATTGAAATTATTCTAATGATCACACTAGCAAATGTATATATATTATAATACTATAATTTATGTATAACAATATGTATAAAGGCCTCCTCTGTACTGAGAGTATTAAAACATAGTCCACCACACAAACCCATTGCAGATTGGCAGACTTCATATGACTTTGAAATTAGTTTTTGTTATTATTTGGAAAATATGCAGGTTTCCTTGTGATGTTTTCCATCAATGCCGAGCATGTGATAAGTCAGCACCCACAAATTAACAATTTCATTGATGGATTTGATCTCAGGTTGTGCGATTGCATTGAATTAAATGTGAGTGCACAGATATTGAGCTATATTGGCTCAATATTGAGCTTATAGCTCAGTGTACAGGCACTCACTTTTTAACTAAAAAAATTTGAGCAAAATGAATTTAACAATTTAACTAATAAGAAAATGTTCTGGGTGGAATGAGGAATAAAGATGAATTTACTTATCACCCAATATCATTATTACAGTCTATCTACAATATAACCAGTATTACATATATACAAAAGTTAAAAAATGATTGGTTAAAATAAAATGTTTCTATCTAATAAAATAATAAGAATTATAAATCAAAACTTCAGTAAAGTGGAATTACTAACTTTTAAACAACTATATATAAAACAAATAGCATAATGAAAAAACAAAAACTATAATAACAAATACTTTAATAAAAAAAAAGTAAGATTTATATATAAAGTGTATTTTTGTTGCTTGTATGCAAAATAAGTTTTTGAAAGAAACTTTTTATTCTTAACATAAAATGTAAAAACATTGTCTTTACTTCTCATATATTCTATGTTCATAAATAGCAGTACCAGTAAAAAGTATACAGAATTGTTAAATCAGGTGTAATATTTGTCTGACACTATCTTACAATTATTATTAATCAAAAGCAACTTGTATTGTGAATGAAATGCCAATAAATTCATTTTATATACAACTGTAAAAACAAGTTTACACTGGCTACAACTACTTTGACTTCATTTACAAATTACAAACATATCTAACAATATTCTCTATGTATTTAGACTCATCACATGTTAGTGAGTAGGGAAACTTTAGAAATGAATTACCGAAATTTCATTTTATTTCATAGTCCTGTATGAAAGAAGCTCACAGTTGATCACCATCAATTCAAAAGTGAAATATTTGTCACTCAAAATCACTGTCAAACAAAATGCAATACAAAGAATTTAAATGCACATGGAAAGCAAGCCTCCTACTGCCAATCGACCAAACAGAGTGGAATGTGCTAGTGTACTAGCCAGTGAGTAAATAATAAGTAAACATTAAAATACGCCTCCCCTCTTCCTGAGTGACGCGATCATTGCGCCCACGCCCGCCACCCGCACCCCGCCCTTATCACATGCTCGTACCTCCGCTCCCTCCTATAGTATTTGACGGTGAGCGACGCTCAACGAACAGACACTGATGCGAGCGTCAGAACCGATACAAGATGCGAAAGTACAAGGAACGCTTTCGCAGTTGACAAATCAAACCAGACGTCGTGCGTCAACTCATTCGATGCATACCACGTAAAAATAGAAACAAATGAATGAATAGCGTCCACTACACATACCTGGCCCAGTTTCTTGAGCCCCGATCAACGTAATCGAGGTTTCTCTTTGTTGAAAAGATTTTATCAAATAATGCCATCGCCTCACATTAAACAGTTCACGACATTCTCATAGTCAGATTTGCCATGCATCTTTAATCCTATTGAATCCCCACAAGGCTATTAAAAAAAATTTTATTACTTTCCAAATTCTAAAACACTGAATGTAAATAATCTGACAGATCACGTGCAAAAGTCATATGATTTACCAGAGACTAGTAGAATGTTTTCAACCCTGAGGTCAAGGTCAGTTTTCACTATCCCTTGAATACTTCAAATCGTCTAAGATTACGTCTTGCTTACAATCAGGTGCGATAGTAGTCAATAAATACAGGTTTCCTTTAAGAAAAATAAAATTAAATAAGACAAAAATTAAAAAAGAAAATTGAACCATAGAAACAACACATGGTAATTACTGGACTGGTAACCCTCGGCTTTTCATTTAAGTAGATGACATTGACGTTGTCATAATGACAATAACTTAATCTGAAATGAAAATAAAAAAAAATAAAAGAAAAATAAAAAGGAATGGAAACTGAAAACAGAACTGAAATGTATTATGTAGTGTCATGTATTTATGAACAAGTGAAGATATTGATAAACGATTTGGACTTATAGGATTTCAATTTTTGACGTTTTTATTTGACGATTACAATTTTAATGTGAATTTTATGAAATTGAGTGTTTTAAGAACAACTTAACATTGGCGGAACTGTAGTAACTCACAAAGCAAGCCAATGCCATTAACAAAAAGAAGAAGATAAGCGTTTTTTTTTTTTTTTTTTTCAATTTTTGTTAATCATCCAATAAATGTTAATTTACTTAGAATGATGTGCCATTATTTAGAAACTTTAAACTATTCATGCTAAAATATGTATGCCATTTCCAACCTTTCAAAGTTATAAATTTTTGTGTGCCCACAGTTTGTAAGTTAAATCCCAACATGTTAAACCTATATAAATTACTTATATATTTTGCATAGCTATAATTATTTGATAGCTTTACTAATAGAAGAGGTATAATACTAATAAGATTATTAATAATAAGAGGTTAACATGGAGGAGGTATTTAGAAAACTGGGTCAAATGAAGTTGAAAGTTTTAACTGAGCTTCAAAAAATAGACCTAGACAACAATTGCAAAGCATTATTAAAAAAATATTTTATTAATATTGAATCACTAAACTCAGATTCACTGTTAAGAATTCAAGCGGTACTAGATTATATGTACGAACAGGTTAATGCTGGCAAGTGGAAAGATGTGAAGCTATATCTACGGCAGACAATTACAATAGCATCTTATTTAAAACTTTTAGTCTATTGCAAAATCTCGTCAGAATTAACAGATGACTTAATTAAAGAATTATTTAAAATAATTGATCATGGGATTCTTTTTGGATGCCCCCTAACAGAAGAACCTAATTTATTACAAAAATGTGCAACAATTATCAGTCCTTTAGTACCAAATGCCAATATTAAAAGTCCTGAAACTGTAATAGACAGTGCAAATCATTTCAAAAATAATTCAAACTTTTTGACTATTGATGTTATAAATTGTCCCAGTATGGAAACATTTTTCAGAGACTACCTTTCACAGGATAAACCTGTCGTTTTAGAAAATTGTATTAACCACTGGCCAGCATTAGAGAAGTGGAAAGATCATAATTACTTTATAAAGATTGCGGGTATGAGAACAATAGCTATAGAGTTGGGCAGAGATTACACAAAAGAAGATTGGACTCAGAAACTGATGACAATGGAGGAATTTATAAAAGAACATATATATTGCACAAGTGGAGCAGTTGGGTATTTAGCACAATACCAACTATTCAATCATATTCCAGAATTAAAGCAAGATATTATTGAGCCGGATTACTGTTGTTTTTCTGATAACAATGAGGGTATTGATATTATGGCGTGGTTTGGACCTAAAGGCACATGGTCACCACTACACTATGATGTGAAAAAGAATTTACTGACTCAAGTTGTAGGAGATAAGCACATGTTTTTATTCCCCCCGAAAGATTCTGAATATCTTTACCCATATGACGGTGAGCTATTACACAATACAGCTCAGGTTGATCCTAGAAAACCTGATTTTGATAAATACCCAAAATACAAAAGAACTAAACCATATTACTGTACTTTAAGCGCGGGACAAATGTTATATATACCACCTAAGTGGTGGCATTGTGTGGAGTCATTATCTGTCAGTTTTTCTGTAAGTTTTTGGTGGTAGTAAATAATTTTTAAGATGATATGTAAATAAATGTACATTTGACTAATTAATAACTTTATTTATATTCACTATTCAATGTTCTTCCAATTAGCATTCTCCGCACTTCAGATGTACCGGCACCAATCTCATAGAGTTTGGCATCCCTTAGTATTCTTCCTGTTGGATAGTCATTAATGAAGCCATTTCCTCCTGTAATTTTAATAAATAGTGTTAATAAATGACCATTCAAAAACTATCTGCCATCTCTTTAAATAATTTTACAATAAGAACTTAACACCCGAGTTTACACTTTATCTTATCCTTTAAACGAGCAATTCTTGTATATATATAAACATTTATATGGAAACGGCTCCAGCGATGTTTTTGTTCTTTTTTCCCTTATTTTTAAAAGTTCTTTCTTTTGTGAAAGACACCAGTTCATATTTTCTTATTATTACATCGGTAAGATCGAAAAATATTATGCATATTTCATTACTCAGTAATTTTTATCTAAATGTAATTTCCAAAATCCACGATTTACCAAAAAAAAAAACCGAGCAAAGCTCGGTCCTCCAGGTACTAAGTTCAGTTAAGTTAAGTTCTGTTGTTCTAAGTTCAGTTCTAACTAAGTTCAGTTCTAACTAAGTTCAGTTCTAACTAAGTTCAGTTCTAACTAAGTTCAGTTCTAACTAAGTTCAGTTCTAACTAAGTTCAGTTCTAACTAAGTTCAGTTCTAACTAAGTTCAGTTCTAACTAAGTTCAGTTCTAACTAAGTTCAGTTCTAACTAAGTTCAGTTCTAACTAAGTTCAGTTCTAACTAAGTTCAGTTCTAACTAAGTTCAGTTCTAACTAAGTTTCTAACTAAGTTCAGTTCTAACTAAGTTCAGTTCTAACTAAGTTCAGTTCTAACTAAGTTCAGTTCTAACTAAGTTCAGTTCTAACTAAGTTCAGTTCTAACTATTGCTCGCCATTTTTTGACGCCAAGGATCCGGAATAATTGTACGCATAATATGGATATTCAAATACTTTATTCGTGTGGGAAGCGAATTCACGGCTTTCGGCGGCGAAACCATAAGTTTATCTTAGAAATTGCCATCGAATCAATATAGTATTTTATACATCGTGGGTTAACTTTCAGAGCCCATGGTCCTTATGAGTTCTGTAGATAAAGTCTGATCGAATAAGTATTTATTATTTTGTTAATTTAGTTATAATTAAGTTATAATCAGCCTATTTGAGGACACTGCTGAAAATAGCCTTTCCCACAGACTGCCACAAAGCACGATCCTGAGTCGTAACTCAGGTCGTTACTCGTATCTAGTGCGGGGTCGTCCTACATTTCGATGGTCAATACGAGGCAGCCACTCGAGAATATTTCTTCCCCAACGGTTAGCGGTTCTACAAGCTATATGGCCGGCCCATCGCCACTTCAACTTGCTAATCCTCTGAGCTATAACGGTTATCTTTGTTTAACAACGGATGTTTTCGTTTTATTGCATACATACTCGTATATTAAATATTAGTGTTTGTGTGACTACTTTAAAATACCTAATATCTGTATAGCATCCAAAGCGATTTGAGTGGCCTTCTCAGCGCAGTATAGTATCACGCCAGCGCAGTCTTTGCTGTTGACATGCCCCTCGTCACATGCTCTGGCAACGTTGTAAAGATAACTGCGACTTGCGCTAAGTGTTGTGTACATGTCTGCCATTTTGCCCTGTTTAAAACATATATTACTTCCATTTCTAGTCATTCCTGACTAGAAAGAGACAATGAACAATAAATAACACAGGCATTCCATCAATGATGTTATTTAATGTTCACCCATATAAATATAATATTTTCGTAAAAGCGATGTTTGTTGTAAGCATATCACAATACAAAAAGCAATAATTTTGTAAATTGCAATTACAAAATTCAAAGACATAAAGCCACATTTAGAGCCGGGTAAATAAGTATAAATAAATTTTGACTAAAAATTAGTTCAAGACACCAAATACGCAGAGAAACAAAACAACACAAAATGTAAAATTGATGACGAATCTTAGAAAATGGCGTTATGGATTTACCTGAAGTAGTTGGAATTCCCCTATATTTTTGCCAAATTGCTTTCTCGTGTGTGCATAAGCGAAAGCAGCGTCAATGGCCGCTTGCATCAGACCCACGGGACCAGCTGCTAAAACCAGCCGTTCTAAATCCAACCCAGACATCAACACGTAAACACCTTTGTTCTCGTCACCTAGCAAATTTTCTGCGGGCACCTAAAATATATAAGTATTAAAATTTCATAAGAACTATTAAAAAGGTACGTCAAAGGTACTTTTCGAAACTTTGAAGCATACATAGTTTTATATCTTCTATAACAAATATCTATTCCTATTAAGACGAAGACAGAAAAAGAGATATGTGTTTGGCCCGAATATACGTTTCTTCGTTTCTGTGTTCCCTCGTAAGTACTAAAAGTCTGAAGTCTGAACCGATATTTGTACTTAGTTAAAGTACTGATATTTACAGTGAGTTATATTCAAATTCAAAAAATCAGTACGAGGATATTGACGAATGTAAATTGAAACAAACAAACATGAACAAACCATTGAAAAATGTAGGTATGTTTTCGAAAAAAGATCCATACCGCATTCGGAATTTTAAATTTTTTTTAAATTATTGACCTATTTTTGCATATGATATCCGATTAATGCAAGTACCCATAGTTAAATTAACTATTTCATCTTTTGAAAACCTTTTAAAAATTTATACTCCTCGAATATTTTACAATGTTCATAACTTATATTGTGATAGTCGACGATAGTTTACCGGTAAAATAATAACATTATCAGGTTACCTTGCAATCTTCAAACACTAATTCACAAGTGTTTGAACCCCTCATACCAAGTTTATCTAGTTTCTGCGCCGTAGTGAATCCTGGGTAGTCCTTCTCGATCAAAAAGGTTGAAATCCCGTGTTGCGGTTTGCTAGTTAAATCTGTTTTAGCGTAAACCTAAAAGGATGTATATTAATATAAATTATTGTTGTGAGTCGATATTGGTAACGGTAGTTGAGTAAAAATGTGAAGCGAGTAAGATATTTAACAGCGCAGTCAGAGAATAGGCATCACTAAAATACCACACTTTCTAATTCTATGTAAGTACTTTATAGTATAATCAAAAAAGATTTTATAAAATACGAATCGTTAAGTGACGGGGCTACCTCCCCACACAGGATAGTAATTTGTTCAACCCTCAAATAGTCATTAAAACTATTCCCAAATGCGAGATTTTTTTTTAAAATTAAAACGAGTAAAATGTGTGATTTGGCTGGCTGACTTTAATGTGTTATTTAACATGTGAATTTTTATAGATAAATGCACAATAACTTTTGCCAATACCACAATAAAAATTAATCCTAAAATACATTTGTTAGTCATGAAAAGTTACAAAAGTTACACAGCTATTTGTTACTAATTTCCATCAGATAGTATTTTGCATATTGAAAATTTGTGTAATATGCAAAACGTGGTGGCAAATAATAGACTTGAGTATCAAATTTAAAAGCCTTTTTTATTATCATCATTATAAAACATTATAATGAACATAATTTATGGACTTTGTCGTGAAATAGCCAAATACTAATTCACTGTGGTAGGACCAAGCAACAGTATTCGCTGTTGCACGAATGGGCAGGACCGCCCGGGTTAGTAACTCGACCTCACAGAGGACCGGCGTAAAGTAGAAGCGTTACACTTCTGCGTTCCGTCTGGTGAGTGAGCCGGGGCCCACATTATTAAAAGGTGACAACACTTCTGCAACCGGTGTAGCAAATGTCGATGTGTGGCGGTTATCATTTAACATCAGGTGAACCGAACTCGTTTGCCACTTTCTCAGATAAAAAAATAAACATATTTTGGAAATGACAATCAATGTATTGCTCTTACCACTAATACATCAGCGTCAGGGCCATTAGTTATCCAGAACTTGTTACCGTTGAGAATATAGTAGTCACCCTTTTTCTCAGCTCGAAGCTTCATTGATACCACGTCGCTACCTGACCCGGGTTCCGACATAGCCAACGCACCGATGTGCTCTCCAGAACACAGCTGTAATTAAATTGAATTTATTTATTTATTTAACTACAAAATAATAATTTCTTGTATTAATGCGATTACCACGTTACCAAATGACACTATGTTTAAGAATCTTTCGCGTTTATTCCAGACGTTTGAACCGGTTTAACCGTTCATGGTCATGGGACAGACTGAGGCTACCGCCATTTTTTTAATTATTAATTTTTGCAGCATTCTGCGTAGATCAATAAGGGTTCGAAACGTCGGGAAATAAAACTAAAAATAAGACAATGAATCCGTAAACATAGTTTCATTTATAGCCGGTTTCAATATTCTGTTTGTCATTCAGTCCATAATACTTACGCTAAATTCTATCTCCAGTAACCAAATCTATCTGCAGATTGAATATTGAAACAGACCGTTAGTAACTTTAGAGTAATCGAGATCAGTGACAGCCAATAACATATATTATTTTATATACATCTTATATATTGCATTTGCCAGTTTCATCAGTGGTTTCATTGGTACCGGAATTCGAAAGCAGGTTAAAATACAGACCTGAGTTAAAAAAGAAGACTAAATTAAAACCATATAGTAACAGGAGACATTGCTGAATATGTTAGTGTTGGTGCATTAGAAATTTATGTACATACCTAAATAATCTGTTCATCACTTTAGAAGCGAAACGCGAAAACATCTCTACCACACACGATTGTCTGATCTTACAGTACAGTGTTTTTATCAAAAGAACATAAAATATTAACCGTAGATTGCTTTATATGAGTTCCGTGCAATATTCAATTCAATACTTACTTTAGGCAAATATTTGATCTTCTGTTCATGCGATCCGTTACGGTTGATCTGGTTGAGGCATAAGTTGGAATGGGCACCATACGACAAAGCAATGGCACCGGAAGCTCTGATAAATTTAATGCAATATTAAAAAAAGTGTTTGTATACTTATGTATGTATAAGAAGTTATAGTTATATTCACTAGCGTAACAAAAGAAAAAAATTAAAAACTCTCTTCCCTGTGCCAGTCCTCTAGTCCTCTTTCTTTGTGAAAATATCATTAAATTCAATTGATAATGGTTTTATGTTGGAATTATAGGTAAACGTCAAAAACTTGTTACTGGACGTCATACCGTAAAGTTGTTTACTTTGCGACCAACTTCATCGTGTCGCTTTTTGAGGGTCGGTGTGGGAGCGCATCGTAAAACTTTTACTCTCATAATTTTCCTCCAAACGCGAAACAAAGCGTCAAAATCTTTCTAATGGTACAATGTTAAATAGCCTAGACATTTGCCTTTGTAGCGCAGATGAAACTTGCACATCATTTTTATTGTGTATTTCACATATAGCACATTTTTTTTTATGGCTTTCAACGAAAAAGTACCGAGGACAATTACCAAGTAAAAATAACGCTATGCAGCGTGTCGTTACCATCGCGACAATAAATGAACACACGTCTAACGCTACTTGCCAATAATCATAAAAAAAATATTAACGTTAAAAAAATTCATAATAAAAAAAATATTTTTCAAACAAACTAATTAAGTAAAAAAGAAACAAAATGTGTAACATTCTATACAACTACAACTGACTGATTCATACATTCAGAGAATTTTTCATTCGTTGCCACAGCGCCGCATTACAAGCCTCTCCTTCTAACAGTATGTTTTGTCTCTTTTAAATTCATTCAACCCATTTATATGCTTTGTGACCTTTACAAATGAACTTTATATTATAGTTTTATACGTAAGGATGTTCTAAAATTCTTTGTTTTAGAAAATTTGATAACTCGGTAAATATTGGTGTTTAAAGAATGTAAATCTTTAATACAATTTTAAAAAGTTATCCTCTATATGTGTGTTCATTTATTGTCGCGATGGTAAAGACACGATGTATACCTAACTATAAATTTATATAGGAGACACAAAAAACATTTTGCTATAAACTTAAACAAAATAATTTATGAGAATGGCCAAAAGTTTATTTTATTATGAGGTTTTCGTCTACAAAGATACGCCAACCCCATGATATAAGAGTTACATCATAAAGTTATTTCGAGTAAAACATAGCATGACGTTTACGCTCTGAATCTCTTAACAAATTACCATTGATTTAAATCGCAACCTTGTGATAAGTGATGATGCTTGCATAAAGCAAGTAGATACATGTATGTGATGTACATCGGAGATTTAATTAAAAAAATTAAATCTCCGATGATTCTTGAGACGTCCATAAATGGATGAAAAGTAAATCAAAACATTCTTTTTTCTGAAGCACATAAGTTCATATTTTCACGCTACTAAAATTACGTTTTTATTTACCGTGACAATTCCTCCATAATAACACAATGATCTGAATATTTCCCACCCGTGCCGCCATATTCCGGACTCACTGTTATACCTGGAATTTATAATGAATTGAATAGTAATTACAACGGTAAAAGATAAATTTAATAATTTTCACTGATACAGCGTATCAAAAAGAAGATTTCTTCAGCATTGCTAATTACAAAATGTTTAATCTAAAAAATCTTTTAGAGTGCCTTTGTGGAATGCTTTGCCCCTTCACATTCGACAAGCTAAGTCTTTTTTCTTTTAAAAATCTAGCAAAATTTCATTATTTGGAACTGTCAACTCATGCTTTCCTTTTTGCTTTTCCTATTTTTTGGTGTACAATAAAGTATAAATAATATTAATTTGTTAGTTGAGTAAAAATTAGTTTAGGCCCAAATTATGGACAAAGAAGATATTTCTTTTCCGTAATCCATGAATTTATATAACAGCTTGAAATTTTTGCTTTTAGAAACGTATCCTGTGAGTTAAACCGATATAAAAGTTATTTTGGGAGAAAAGTCCTACGCTGAGGTTCACCGAAATTTTAAACGCTTTCGCATATAAAATGTTGGTGCGATTAAATGGACCACCCAGATATTAAAGAGAAAATAAAGAGTTGTATATATGTACAAACCTAGCACAGTGACTGGCCATCGGGGTCACGGTCGCCACCGAACCTGTCTTGTATCTTGTATTAACTGATGTTTTTGCTTTCAGTCCCGAGACTATTAAAGCTTCATCGGACGCAGAACCGGTGGGCTAGCCAGAACCCACGGGTTTGGACCCTCCGCTATGGGTAGGGTCGCGCATGTGCTCATGCGTGCGTTTAACTACTATGGTGTGTCATCTAAGGGCCGTCGAGGTCGCCGTTTCGAACCGAGACCCCGACGGCCGTCGACTGTGCATTTAGCTAATCGGTGGCTGGGAGCGGTGAGAACCGCCCCGGAACGCGGGTGTACCTTGTGTACGTGTTGTGTGGGTCTCGCCGTGCTCGGAGGCGAGGGCGAACTGTTGTGATTGTTGTTACACTAACTGTGGGTGTAGTGTTATCCGGCGGGACCCCCGGCGGTGGATCCATCGTATCTAAGTCCTATTCGTCGACCGGGTCGATGAGGACGTTTCGCGGGCGACGTGTCCGGTTGGTAGTTTGCTGCGCTTACCACCAGAGGGTTGGGATGATGCTGGACTCTATCGAAGAACCGTTTTGTCAAATCTTTAAAATGTGCGCGAATCGTCGGGAGTCTGCAATCGCTGTGCAGGTCGACGTTGCGCTGATACCACTGCGCACCGGTTGCGCGGCGGATAAACTTATTTTGTACTATTTGCAACTTGTACAAGCGAGTAGGGTGCGTGTGGGCGAAGATCATGCATGCGTAGGACATAATAGGTCGTACGCAGGTCTTATATAATAATAATTTGTGCCTTAAGGGCATTTTACTTTTAGCATTAGTTAAATTGTGTAGCCGGCCGGAGACGAACGCGGCTCTGTTACGAACGTTATTAATGTGCGTAGTAAATGACATACGCGAGTCGAAAGTGACTCCTAAGTATTTGACCTTTTTCTCCCAGGGGAGCGGTTGGCCATAAAGGGATATTTGCCCCAACTTTCTGCATTGGCGAGGGCCATTATAAAGATGTGATGGGTAGGTACTTCGTGTGAAGTGAATCGCCACACTCTTTTCGGGATTAATATCGATTCTCCATTTGCGGAACCAATCGCCGAGGCGGTCGGCAGCGCTTTGGAGTCGAGTCGTTAATTGACTGAGGTTGCGGTCTGAGTAAAAGAGCGCCGTGTCATCCGCGAAAAGCGCGAGATTGACGTGGGGGTCTCTAGGTATGTCGCTCGTGTAGAGCGTAAATAGCAAGGGTGAGAGGCAGGAGCCTTGTGGTACGCCGGCCGTGAGGCGGCGGCTTGTGGAGAGGGTGCTCTCGATTCGATATCGAAAAGAGCGGTTCAACAAAAAGGCCCGGACGGTGTGTACAAGCCTATCTGGCACTTTGAGTGTGTACAGCTTGTAAAGCAAGCCGTTGTGCCAGACTTTGTCGAATGCTTTTGCGACATCGAAGAAGAGAGCCCCTGTACTAATGTGTTTGGGGTGGTTAAGGCCTTTTAGGATGTGCTCCGTTAGGCGGTATAACTGATCGGGACAAGAGTGTCTAGCTCGAAAGCCGAATTGTTCCGTCGGCAGAAGGCCGTTGGAAAATACGTGCTCTTTGAGCCTGTTTAACAAGAGCCGCTCGTAGAGCTTCCCCAGGCAACTGAGGAGGCTGATGGGACGATAGCTAGAGGGCTGATTGGCTGGTTTATTCGGCTTGCGAATGCCGATAACCGTGGCTTGCTTCCAGTCGTCCGGAAAGGAGCAACTGGAGAGAAGGTTATTGAAAATGGTCGCCAGTAAACAGATAAGCGGCCCAGGGAGAGCTTTGAGAATCTTATTACTTATATTATCTGGGCCCGGGGCGGATTTTGGTTTTAAATTTTTAATAATATCTTGGACCTCTTCGGGGGTCACTGAATTTAAAGGTTCGCCTTCCGGTGGAAGCGCAGCCCTAGTCTCGATTACGCGGTCCACCTCCGTTAGGTGGACTGAATCAGTGTGTTCGCGCCATGGCGTACATTGCTGCTGCTCTAGGTTGTCCGCAAGGCATTCGGCTTTTTCGGAGTCATCTAGGGCTACTGAAGCGCTATTAGGTCTAACTAACGGCGGTAGAGATTCGCGGGGATCTGCTTTCAGACTGCGGGCCAACCGCCAGTAGGCGGTGTGCGATGGCTCGATGTCCTCTAGGAGAGTGTCCCACGTTGTGTGTCGGTGTTCCGATACTCGATCTTTGACTTCTAGCTGAAGGCGTCGAAGTAGGGTTCGGTTCGATTCCGATCGGTATCGGTCGAAGGCGCGTTTGGCTACATTTTTCTGTCTAAGTAGCAGTCGTAGGTCGGACGGAAAGTTAAACCGTCGGTCGCCCGACAGTTTTACCGTCCGTTCCGAGTCTGTGACTGCGGAAGTAATAGTTTCGCGGAGACTCGCTATCGCTCAATTTGCGTCATCAAACGTAGCTATCGTCTCGGGTAAGTCTACTAAGTCCTGGGGGTCCAAGGCCTTGAGTTTGACCTCAAGACGATGCCAGTCCACTACGGATTTGGTCGGAGGGACCGCGCCGGCGTTCTGGCCCAGTTTACACAGGACGGGCCTGTGGTCTGAGTCTAGTTCATGGATTGTCTCTATCGACTCGATGTCGAGCGAGACCTCCCTGAATAACATTATGTCTAGGACACTCGGTGACGCGTGCTGGTAGTTGTCCACCGTAGGATACCTAGTGGGAGTCGCGGGAGCGACTATACTGAAATTTAGGTTATCGGATAAGCTAAAGAGATGCTTTCCGTTGTTGTTTGGGATGCTGTTGATGTCCCATGAGCCGTGTTTGCAGTTTAGATCTCCTGCAATTATCACGGAAGGGCCTAAGTTAAGAAGCGTATCTAGGTCGCTTTGAAGGAGGGTTCTATTCCCCGAGAGGTAGGCTGAGAATAGTACAAGCGGCTTGTGGCCGGTGAGCGCTAACCTACACGCGGATGCCTCTATTTGACTTAGCTCTGCCACCGAACCTCGATGGCCCGTAGGCGACATGCCATAATTAACGCACGCATGAGTACATGCGCGACTCTACCCACTGAGGGGGGCCTCAAACCCGTGGGATCTGGCTAGCCCACCGGTTCTGCGTTCGATGAAGCTTTAATAGGCTAAGGACTAAAAGCATAACATTAGTTATACAAATGTACAAACCGGAGTGCTCTATATTTTAGGTTCCGCAAGAATTACACAACTCACCCAACACACCGAGGTTACCGAGCTTCTTCCAGAACTCTCTCAATTCTTTGAAATTATTCGTTTTGTCGATCTCTGCTGCTTTCGGCGCTAATTCTTTTTGCGCAAAGTCAAAAATTACTTTGCGAAGCTGAAATAATTTAAAAACAATTTTTTTATAATGAAAAACAAATAAATTCGTTAAATTACTTTCATTTAACATGTGTAATGTTCGCGTAAATTCTACTCGCAATACTCTACTCTCTACTCTACTGGTAATTCCAAAGAATGAAACAAACCTTAAAATATAGAACTTGGAATTATTAAATACACACTCCCACACGTGGGACACTAAAAGACTGAAAAATAGCTGGGGAAATATGTAATAAAGGTTCTCATTCAATTTCGTAAATTTTATGTCAATAAATGACATCGTGATCAGAACATTAGTAAATTTGGGACCGGTTTAGTCGGCGCTTGTTATTTTATTTCTAAAGATATAACCGGTAAAACACGGAAATTAAATTTGTTGGATGTATAGTCATGACAATTTTTCTTAAAATACATTTGAAATCTTAGTAAATTTTTAATGTGTTGTGTATTTAAATAATAAGTTCTAATAAAATACAAGTAATAGTGTAACTATCATTATTTCCTAATGTTAAATGCGCTCAGAAGTCTTTAAAATAATTTGTTATGCGTAGTTCTCTACTAACTAAATAATAAAAAGTATAATTAATAATAGAAGCGTGATTACATGTTATCCTGTGAAGGTTTAAGTAATCGTGTTAATTATTATAACATTATTACATTGATATAGAGGAATAAATTTATGAGTTCTTTTTCTTTAATTTTACAACCATTCCTTATATCTCTGTATCACCAAATATTTTGACCGGATTAGAACTCATCAGGGTCAAACATCAAATGTGTCTATACACAAGATTCAGGCGAAAGCTTAGTAAAATAAGTTCATAGTCCTTTGGAGTTGTATGGATATTAAATGAACTTCGCGTCATCACCTGACAAAAAAAAAACAATACTTAATATTTCGATTAATATCACAGACACACTTTCAATGAGATCACTGTGATCTTGAAATATTTGACCCGGTTGAACGGGCCCAAACTGAAGCAACGGACCTGTTTCGACATCTAGATGCTTCTACGATACTTAAATGGAAACAAAATGTTGAAAGTAATTTAAAAACCTGTTGCTGCTCGCTGGTGAGTCCAAATATGTGTTCGTCTATCGGATAGTGTGACATGTATCGCTTGCCGGTGACGTTTGCATATCGCTCCAAAATGCGTCTCACACACACCAGCCTACCAGCCATTATAACGTCTGTGCTCGGCGCTAACCAACTTTGGACTGTCGAACACAACTTTAGAACGATAAAACGATCAACGATGTGAAAACTTTATGCTCTTTACCACAATGACGATTCTTGTATGACAAATTTCAAATTAATTCAATGTTGATAATTGCGTATGTTAAACCAAACGTCGTACGTATTATCAGTTATTTATGTTATTCCGATTATTGAGAAGGTTAAACATTCGTACGGACTGTTTAAAAACTTATCTGATGTTGATAATATTTAACTATAGAGGCTGAAGCAATGAATTGCAATGCCTACCGACAGTGAAAGAGTAAACATCTATTGTTTTTTGTCCGCGTTAAAAACTCAATATCTACAATAAAAAGTATATATCTACATCAAAATCTCACCGCACAACGGAGTAAGAAGGGTTTTAACTTCAAAAAGGTATTTACGTAACAACTTCCTTGACCTACCGCAACCTGCGGTCGGCCCACTAAAGTACCGACATATTCGTGTACGACAGTTGTTCCTTTTTATTTTTGGGCGCCTACATAAATAATCAGAGCATTATAACATATTAGAAAACCTAAGCTATTGCTATTTGAATATTGAAAATTAATAATTCAAGTACAAAAGTTTGCATAAAATGGATAAAAATATATGTGGGGCATGCAGAGCGCCGATAACCGATAAGAAGTACATGAGCTGTCTTGGTTGCAAACATAAATATGATCTACAATGTGTTAACATTTCGCCGCAGCGATACAGGTCTCTTAATGATGAAGATAAGCGATCATGGAGATGTTTCGAATGTAAAGGCAAAATACCTAAAAAAGATAATACCAATACACCGATACGCTCATCGTTTCACGCAGACACATCGTCATCCGAGGATAAGAATAACAGTAATGTAACGTTGCGATAAAAAAACTGAGCCAACGTATGATTATATAACGGAAGGCAGGTTGAAGCAGTTTTTGGAAGCTGAAAGACACGAAATAAGTGCTGTTATTCAATCTAGCCTAAAAGAATTGTCTGAACAGCTCCTGACAATTAAAAATCAATGTTCTGGGTATCAGGAGTCTGTGACGTTTATATGCAAGCAGTATGATGACATGCCTAAGGAGTTGGTGGATCTTAAAAAGCTACTTGCGACTAGTTCATCCGAGATAAGAAGTATTAAAGAAGAAAATAAATCTCTCAAGGATAGCTTAAGCGAACAATCCATGAGAATTAAGGCGTTAGAAGAAGAGAGTCTTAGGCAGCAGCAGTGCAATAGGATGCAGAATATCGAAATTAGAGGTATTCCTGAAAACAAGACCGAAGACACTGTAAGCATTATGTTGAAATTGTCGCAGCATATTGGTGTATCTATCCAGCAGACTGATGTTGAGTTTGTGCATCGCGTACAACCACGGCGTGCTGTCAGTTCGAAACAAGCACGTCCTATTATCGTACGTTTGAAACAACGTGCTATCAAGGATAAGATATTGACAGCGTCACGCAAGCATCGGACTATAAATGCTAGGGACTTGGGAATGGGGGACGAGACAAATCGTATATTCATTAACGAACATCTTACGAAGGAAAACAAACTATTATTGAATACGTGTAAACAGAGAGCAAGAGAGGCGAATTATAAATTCGTATGGACAATAAACTGTCGTATCTATGTCCGAAAAAACGAAACGTCACCCCCCATACCCATATCCTCCTCAGCAGATTTATCCAAGATCGTTTAAAATATTTAAAATATTCTATTCCTATTTCATTATTTCATACTTTAATACCTAATATAACTTTCTCCGCTAATCCTATTAAAACCTCAGTATTACACAGCATACATTACACTTTTAGCATACCACATTACACATCAATACACAAACACGTTACCATGATAGCCTTTCCAAATTTATGCTACCCATACGTACTTTATAAATACGAGTTAAAACGCACCTCCAGCCAAGCTTTTACAACCCACAGTAATTTTATTTTTAGGCAACACGTATGCATAATTATTTATTGTATTTTATTGTTAGTCTTTTGTTATATAGCGTGTATTATTTATTTTATAAATATTGCGTATCTGTCTGGACATAGTAACATAATTAAAAACGGAAATAAGAAATTATCAATTTTATATCAAAACACTAGAGGTCTACGGACAAAGACAAACACATTTTATAATAATTTATTATTGTCAGGAATAGATATTGTTATAGTTACGGAGACTTGGCTTTGTGAGGGTATATTGGACGCTGAAATTAGTGATGCCAACTACCGAGTCTTTCGTCGAGACAGAGGATCACTGGGAGGTGGTGTTATGATATTATGTAAGTCAGAATTGCAGGCATGCGCAGGACCAGAGATAAATTATAATAGTCTTGAATGTACTTGGGTAACCATCCCATTAAAAAATTTTGGTTCTCCGTATGACATACATATAGCTGTCGTATATATTCCTCCTAACCACCAAATACCATCGAGAATAAAGGACTTCATTGATGTTCTTTCTGACATTCGTGATAAAAATCCTAAAGATTACTTAGTTGTTGCCGGCGATTTTAATCTTCCATGTATCGACTGGAAACTAGATGACCCTGTGATAGTCAGAAAGGGATCTGTTGAAATTCAGACAGCAGCTTCTGATCTGCTATCCTACTGTTCTTTTATAGGCCTTACTCAACATAACACCTTATTAAATAGCAGTAACAACACGCTTGACTTGGTATTTTCCAATTTTCCACTTAAGGTAATAAAATCTAAAGTTGTACTTGTTAAAGAAGACACATATCCAGCTCTCTACATGTCTGCTGCAGATATTGTTGTATCTCGTATAAAGCCTTGTTTAAGATACAAATATCAATACACGCGGGCAGATTACAGCAGTTTAAACGAAGAGTTTATAAATTCAGACTGGTCTTTTATTGCACGAGAAAAAGATTTGGATAATGTTATGCAGAAATTTTATCAGATTATTAAAAAAAATTATCGATAAATATGTCCCTAAAGTCCGTTGTGGCGGTAGAAACTCGTATCCCGTTTGGTATAGTAAAGCCTTAATTAACGTAATTAAAGAAAAGAACAAAATACATACCAACTGGAAAAAATTCAAAAATCCGGTTGATTATGCTGACTTTTCAGAACTGAGAAAAAGGCAAAAGAAACTTCAAGAAAATTGTTATAAATCATACATAGAACATACTCAAAAAAAATTAAAGCTAACCCAAAAATTTTCTGGAGTTACGTCAAATCAAAGCGTAAAAATAACTTAGATTATCCCCAACAAATGACATATGGTGATATAAAATTAAATAACCCCTTGGATATTTGTTGTTCATTTAATAATTTTTCAGAGAAACTTTAGTCAACCTAGTTATAATTATAATTCATTTACGCAAGGTGACACCTTCAATTGCAATACAATTCCAAATATTAATGTCAGCAAAGAGTTAGTTCATAAGGTAATTAGTAAGCTTGATATAACAAAGGGAGCTGGTAATGATAATTTGCCCCCTATATTTTTCGTAAAATGCGTTAAATCATTGTCTGCGCCAATAACACTGCTATTTAATAGGTGCATTCACGATGGGTATTTTCCAAGAGCTTGGAAAGAGGCTCATATTGTTCCCGTACATAAGAAAGGACTTAAAACTGTTATAGAGAATTACCGGCCGATATCGATACTTAATGTTCTGAGCAAAGTGTTGGAGAGAATTGTTCATATTCACATCTATCCTATTATCTCGCCTTCGATACCAACAGAACAGCATGGTTTTATAAAGGGACGTTCCACAGCAACTAACCTGGGTACCTTCATTGACTTCGTCACCACAAACATTGATGGAGGTTCGCAGGTGGATGTGATCTACACTGACTGCGAAAAGGCTTTTGATCGAGTGGATCATAACATACTATTACGTAAGCTTTACGAACTTGGTATTCGGGGCGATCTACTAAGGTGGATGAAATCATACCTATGGAAACGGTCTCAAGCAGTGGTTTTAGGGGGGTTTCGTTCTAATTTTGTAGAAATATCGTCAGGCGTCCCCCAAGGCTCCATTTTGGGCCCTCTCTTATATGCTTGCTATCTGTACGACGTGGGTAAGTGTTTCCATCATGCTAAATTCCTTATGTACGCTGATGACACGAAAATTTTTATGAAAATCGTAAATTACTCAGACTGCGAAAAGTTACAAGTTGATCTTGAGCGGCTCAATACTTAATGTTAATAAGTGTCACTGTGTGTCTTTTACTAGGAAAAAGCAACCTTTAAACTTTGACTACCAAATAAACTGTTTTAATCTTCGTAAAGAAACTATTGTTAAAGATCTTGGTGTCCTAATGGACAATAAATTAGCATTTACCTACCACATAGATGCCATAGTAAATTCAGCCTACAAAAACCTAGGTTTTATTTTACGTGTTAGTAGACCTTTTTCTAGTATTAATTGCATATAATTACTCTACGTTTCTTACGTACGAAGCACACTAGAATACTGTAGCACCGCCTGGAACCCACACTACATAACACATAAAAATAATTTGGAGAAGATTCAGCATAAGTTTATAAGGCACCTGAAGTACAGAAGTCACAGAGTCTCCAGTGATTATGAAGTGTCATGCAAGTATTATAAACTCGCAAGCCTTGTCATTGCTGTAGCCTGTCAAGCCTTGTCATTGCTGTAGCCAAGTCATGGACTCGCTATGCACAAAACTCATTAGTGAATCGCTTGCAGAGTGTCTTCAATAAGAAATTTTACAACCTAGATATATTCAACACAAATAAAGATAAATTCAAAAGTGGGGTATTAAAAGTATTGGAGGAGGAAATGGCATCTTAACCACACTCACACACACACACACACACACGCACGCACGCACGCACGCACGCACGCACGCACGCACGCACGCACGCACGCACGCACGCACGCACGCACGCACGCACGCACGCACGCACGCACGCACGCACGCACGCACGCACGCACGCACGCACGCACGACGCACGCACG